CTTGGTCTTGACCATCCGGACACGCTGACGACCATGAACAACTTGGCGCTCGTGCTGGACAGCCAAGGCAAGTACTCGGAGGCGGAATCGATGCACAGGCAGATGCTGGCGACCAGTGAGAAGGTGCTTGGTCTTGACCATCCTTCCACGCTGACGACCATGAACAACTTGGCGGGAGTGCTGGGGCGCCAAGGCAAGTACTCGGAGGCGGAATCGATGCACAGGCAGACGCTGGCGACGCGTGAGAAGGTGCTTGGTCTTGACCATCCGGACATGCTGACGAGCGTGTACTGCCTTGCTCATCTTCTTGCAAATCGGCATCGTTACGATGAATCTACTGCGCTTTATGGAAGAGCCTGCGCTGGCTACGATACCACTCTCGGCAAGGATCATCCAACTACCCGTGCATGTCACCAGCACTATGCGCAGATGCTTATGTCTCAACCACAGGGCCCTCCTGAAGTTGCTCTAGACACTGCACCTGATAGCTGAAGCAGACAAAGTGCAAATAGATTAGGACTGCTACGTAGGTTCGCAAAGTTTAGCCTTAAATGTCCTAAGGGAAATACCTCATGATAGAAGCAATTGTACGATACTATATAGTACGCTTTACCGCTAGGTTTAGTTATGGAAAATGAAGCTGTCTGTTGTCCTTCTAGGCAGGTCGACCAACAAGCGAGGCTAAGCGCATTTGTGCTGAAAATTTCCTGTCAGCAGTAATAAATAACAGCTAAGCTATTCTAGGCACGTGGGCCGATGCCTCCCTGCAGAGTGACCCTAGCTGGTCGAATTCGAATCAGCGCAGAGATACAACCACTTCTCAGATGTTATCGCCAGGCTCGGGATTGGGTTATCATACCATGAGCTTCGACTTGACAGGTCGTTAGCAAGATGCATGTAGTTTCAGCGCATCTATGGCGGTTGAAAGTGAAGCAGTTAGGCGAAGCTCACAGTAAACTATGGTACTGAATGGTAAGCAGAGGCTATTTTTGAGGAGATTTCTTGAAATGTTGCATTTTAGTAGCTAAAGATGCTATTCCGAGAAAATCTGTCTCCTTAATCTTGAGTTGAGATTGTTGTGTTGAGATGAAATTATGGCGTTCCGTCACGGCGTGCGTCCCGCCACGCAGGGATAGACGTTATGTAGATAGATTCAGTGCAATTTACCAAATCTGAACCATACATCTCTTCTGTTTTCTTTGTGGCTAGAGAACAAAGAATAAAGGCAACCCCTCTACGAATAGCCCGTGACAATATGGCCTCCCTCTAACTAGCTTTCACCAACTGAGTAATTTTCTCATTCCAACGGGTATTGTCACTTATCCTCTCCCCTTATCGCTCTTGCTGGTCTTCATCACCTGATTAGGCTTGAATGAAATTGTACTTTCTACCTCAGTCTCTACCTCAATCTCTACCTCAATCATAACCTCAACCTCACCTTCAACTTCAACCCTACCGAGACTCCACTTCTACTTCTCACCACAATATTCTGTCTGCCCACGATGGCATATACACGCTCGTCCGCGACGCGCCCCATGGATTCGCTGACGAAGTCACCCACACCGGCACCTGAGAAGAGGAATATAGTCGGGCTTCCCAAGCAAGAAAGCGGCCTTCTGGACCTGCAGGCCGCTACAGGAGAGCAACTGAAGGTGTAAGGGAAGCATAAGTGTGAAAAGTAGGTTCACACTAGCATGAATCAGCGCCCGTCGCAACCAGCAATCCCTACTCGTGCGCCTTCCCGCCGAACTCAGGAACAAGATATACGGGTATGCTACCGGCGGCAACATCCTCACCATCGACCACGCACGCAGCACATCTTTTGTCCCACAAATATTCACAGCCTATAGCTCCGCTGATGTTTGTTCACAGCTCTACACATGTCGACAAATATCCTCCGAGATTGGACTGCCGCCATAGTGTCTGAACGCATTCCGCTATAACGCCGCGTCCACTCCCACGGCTTGGGTTCGCGCTCTCTGTCTTTTCTAGCAATCCGCCATCTAGGAAGTCAGATTGGGTGTGGATTTCGGGTGGAGAGGAGGAAAGCGGACGGTGACACGCACTCCGTTTCACCTTCTCACGGGAAGGAAGGTCATCAGAGATAAGGGAATGATCGCCAGAGTTAAGGGAACGATACCTAAGCAGACCACATTGGCAGAGAAGGTAAAGATTGAGGGTGCGGAGGAAGATGTGCGAGCTACGACAGCCAAAATTTGTTTGGGAGGTGGAGTGTATTAGCGGTGTTGGAAAATGTATGGGGATTCTTATCTTAATTCTGATCTCAATATTGGAAGCTGCCGGGCTAAGTTTAGATATTCAGAATATACGCTATGAGGGGCTTACGGAGAACCGGGGTTTTCTAAAACACAATGCTACGTTTGTTGTCTAGTCTCCGGTATATGCTTCCGGGGAAGTGTGGGATGACGAACAATCGACACTGACATTCGGACAGGAGAGTAACAAGAAGGTATAGCACTCACTATCTCGATTGCCTTCATAATTGACAAACTCACCACATTCAGATATCGGGAACTCTTGCCAAGGTCATATTTTAGACAACCCGACATTCAAAACCGTCTAACAGCCATCTCTTTGTTCTGTGCTCTTTGCCCTTTGCCCTGTGCCCTGTACTCTTTACCACCTGATCTTTGCCTATGCTCTGTGGCTAATGGCTTCGTTGATACTGGCGCTACCTGTCCCTCTATGCAGAAGGTTATTGAGGTGCTTTCTCGGATGCAACGTAGCTACCTGCATTCAGAAATGCAGATGATCCTCTAATTCGACAATCTTTATTCTGCACCTCTGAAGGGTTTCACAGGAAACCACCACCAGAAAACCTGTCCCCAAAGCCCTTCGATTTCCTCAGCATCTCCTGCCTCTGCTTATGACTAATCTTCATACCCACACCCATATCCTTCTCCCGATCAAAAGCCCGCTTACTCGGATCATCTTCCTTATCCTTCCCCACACCTTTCTCCTTATGTTCCTCCATCAAACTCTTGCCCCTCAACCCATCAAGCTTCTCTTTGATCTTTCGCGCTTTCCGTTCTTCTTCCCTCGTTCGCCTAGACTCATGGCCATCATTCGACGAGTTGGCGGGCGCAGAAACACCCAGTGCTTCGTTCTGCAAACGCTTGAGCTTCTGCTCCGGGGTCTCAGTCCAGACACCCATATCCCTGCCGCTTGAACTACCGCCTCGGGGCCCTTTCCCGGTATTGAACTTTCGTGCGCGGAGTTTTGTGGGGTCTATGCGTGCGGCTAGATCATCCTGGGTTGGGGGCATGGTCATCCATTCATCTCGTTGCACTTTCTTTGCTTGTTCGGCGTACTTGGGATCGGTGTCGAATGCTGACGCCGTAAGCCGATTTTCATCGTCGGGGTAGGTGGCATGGGATGCGCCGGCTGGAGGAGGCGCGGGACCGAATTCATCGTCACTGCTGTCTGAGTCATCGGATGGAGAGTTAAGAGGGCGTTCAGAGAGGGGCGCGGGGGGAGCGGTGGGTCCGTAGGTCGTTTTTGGGGTAGTGAGTGGTGCTGGACCAACCTCACTGTCTGAGCTGCTGGATCCGGAGCAAGAGCGAGTAGATGAAGGGGGTAGTGTAGGGCCGAGGATGCGCGGGGGTGAGGGTTTCGAAGGAGGCGCTGCGGGACCTAAGACTCGGCGACGTTTTTCACTGGATATGGAGCTGGAGGAGCGCTGGGGTGACTCTCTAGAGTCATATTCGCCATCACGCTTGCGTTTCGCAAGATGTGGTGGTAGTGAGGGTCCTATAGAAGACATTGTGGTGGTGTTATGGGAAGTTGTTATGCTCGCGTGGAAGAGGTGAGGTAGGAGAGCGTTGATTTGGAGAAGCTCGTGAAAATACTGCCGAGGTTTGGCCGCGCCGGAGTCTGCGCCATGAAGCTTGATTTCTACTCCACTACTATTCACGTCTGCCATACTCCCCGTGATACCGCTCCAGTCTTTCCTATACCCCTCCGGACTGTTCCTGGCAAGCTCAAGCAGCTAGAAAGTCCCCCTACCGGCGCCCAGAACCTCCACTCTTGGCAGATCCCCCTAGGCTCCACCATTTGCACCACCATCACCTGCGGACCCCCCTACGATCCTCACCAATTGGCCCGAGGGGATAGAGGAATGATTTGAGGGGACTATACTATATTACCTCGGTTCCATTCCGGACATCCCTTCTATATGCGCGCGTGAAGCGATGCTTTGCGAGTCACGAGCCTCATGAGCTCAGATTCGGGAGAGAGCCATGTCAGCGCTGGCAATGATAATGGAGAGGACTCGGGCGCTGGCGATACCATTCCAGGCTCTCCTGTAGAGTTAGAGAGCACAGAGGAACACAGTATCTCGACCAGCCATGACATAGACGAGGAGGAACACCCGGCGCAAGAGCTTCAGAGCGGGGTCAATGGCATGTCTTTCGCAAGACGTGGGATGGCTCGGCAAGACGAAGATGAGGAAGCGTCGGTATCAGAGCTTCCCATGCGGTCCCTAACGCGGAGACCAGGCAGTCTGGAATCAACATCTACGCCAGATGACACTCCGTCGATTCAGGTAGGCGCATTACGTATATTAGAGGAAGGAGGCTGATCTAACTACCCTAGGGGTCTGGAATCTCTTCTCCTGGAAGCAGTGTACCGGCATCATATGGATCTCTACACAGATCCCACAGGCCCACCTCTTTGCAGCCTTTCGAGCGACGCTTCTCCTCTCGACTTTCTCCTTCCCCACTAGGCTCTCCCCGCGTCACCTCCTCTCCCGCATTCTTGTCGCCTAAGTCACGGCAGTCCTCAGTGTCCAGTAATTTACTAATATTCCAGCAACAAGACGAATCAGACACTCCGCAAGCGCCATGGGATGTTGTACGATGGACCAAGCTGAAAAAGATAACCGGGCAGGTCTTCTCGGAGGTTGGGAAACGAAATTTTGGACGAGCTACATGTCTCAGTGTTGCCGCTTCTCTCGTCGTTGGCACTTCCAAGGGCTTTGTTCTGGTTTTTGACTACCAACAAGTGCTGAAGGCTATCATTGGCCCCGGAACGAAGGGTAAGTCAAGAATCTAAACCACAGTTACGCTTCTAACTAAGAATACAGCGGTGGAATGTGGTCCAGTGACGGCCTTGGCTATTTCCGCGGATCATTCAACTGTCGCTGGAGGCCATGCGACTGGACATATCTTCACATGGGAACTCTCAAGACCGGCGAAACCGTTCCTTCACATACTTCCTCTAGAGCGAGCTCAATTGGACGACCGGCGTACAGATGGCCATGTATCAGGCGTTGGGATTCTTCATATCGGATTTCTTGGCACTCGCCATACTGCACTTGTGTCTGCTGATGATGGCGGAATGGCTTTTTCGCATCTTGCAACTAGAGGCCTTGGGGCTATTGCGCGAACCGTAAAGACTACTCGAATATTAGGGAGATACCCACTGTCAACGAAGTCGATGGAACGCCCGCGGAAACCAAGCTCAGTACTCGCATTTGCCCCTTTACCTCTTGGAAATGTGGAACAGCCGACGGACGACATGGGCCTCACAGCGCTCTTGACCCCATATCTGTTGGTGATAGTATCAACCACCCCCCTTGCCCAGACGCAACACAAAGCGTCGAGACCGAAAGAAATTGCCCCGCATAGCACGCTAAGCGGATGTCTCGCTTGGTTTCCCGCTGTAAAGCTAAAGAATTCCTCTAGAGACCCTAGTAAAGCTGTTTCGAAGACGAAATTGGTATACTGCTGGTCGAACATTTTGACTATTCTGGACGTCGATTGCATCACATCACCCCCAACGGAAAAAGAGAAGCCAACCGAACTCAGATTTAGACCTCGGAGTCGTTGGAGAAGCGAAGAAGCCATCGTTGCGGTACAATGGCTAAGCCGATCGGTTCTTGGTGTTCTCACGATCAGTCAGCGCTTAGTCATCTTGGAAGACAACTCGCTTCGAATGACAGACACCTTCGACCTCTTACATAAGCACATATATCATTCAGACCTCTTTTCGCAACAACTACGGCCTGTTGTAGAGCAACTTAACGAAGAGGATACTTCGATGCATGGAGTTGTGGCAGATGCATTCTACATGAGCTTTCGAGCTTATAAAGGACGGCTGTTTCTTCTTGGCTTTAACGATGTCTCGATTGGCACGTTGTCCAATTGGGCAGATCGATTGCTGGCACTCATGGAGGACGGCGATTTTATAGCAGCCATTGGACTCGCGACATCGTACTATATCGGAAATGCAGACAAGCTGACGGTTGGGCTACCTGATGATGACCAAACAAGGCACGCCCTTGTTCAAGAAAAGTTGCTGGAAATGATATCTGCTTCGTTGAAGTACACGTTCTCACGAGGCGATGGCATTGTCGATGGCGAGACGAAAGAGAAGCGACTGACGGATCTTGCTACGGTATGCTTTACCGGCTGCATGAGCATGAATGATCTGGATTTCTTGTTCGAAGATGTATACGACGCATATGAGGAAGGTTCTGCAGAGAGGTTTTTCTTCGAAACTCTGGAGCCGTACATCTTGGATGAAGAGATCTCCGCTGTTCCGTCTAAGGTGCTTAAGGATCTGATAACCTTCTATGCGTCGTCTGGCCGCGCTAGTAGGCTTGAAGAGATGCTCTGCCGCTTGAACACAGAGACAATGGACATCAATCAAGTCACGACACTATGCCAGCAGTACAATTTGTACGACGCTCTAATCTATGTCTGGACGAGAGCCATTGGCGACTTCATCACACCACTGATTAACATCATGACACTCATCAAACTCATCGACTTCGACGAAGGCGAGGACGAGACGCAGAACGTCTACATGGCCTCGACAATGAAGATTTTTCCGTACCTAGCGTATACTTTCACCGGCCGAGTATACCCTGGGGGCGCCTTTTTAGATGATGCGCAGGCCCATAGTGCTAAGAAAGATATGTACAGGTTCTTGTTCTCGGGGAAGAATCTCGCATGGCCTCCAGGCTCCGGTGACGTCTTCTTAACGCGGACAGACAGAGGGCCAGAACCGGATTTTCCCTACCTTCACCTCATCCTCGAATTCGACACAGGAAGCTTTATGAGCATGCTCAATGAGGCATTTGAAGACGGCTTTTTGAATGGGGAACAAGATTTTGTAAATGGCCACAATGTCAACGGGGCGCAACTTGCTTCTGCCCTGACGCCCACCCGACAATACATCACTAACATCCTCCTCGGCATCATGACGGCGGAAAATTTCGATCCAGAAGATATCATATACTTCTACATGTTCATCGCCCGGAACGTGCCAAAGTATCCCGCTCACATCATTCTTCCTGGAACCTCTCTTCATCAGATTCTCATTGGCCTTTGCAACTATCCCACAGAAGTCGTCAGAGATGATTGTCAGCTTTCGGTTGAATATCTGCTCTCTGTGTATCATCCACCAAATCTACAGAGCCTTGTACCGCTCTTTGAGAAGGCCGGATTTCATCGCGTGCTCAAATCGGTGTATCGAGGCTCGCAGCAATATGCAAAACTCATTGAGGCCTACCTCAATGATGGTGAAGACCAGGGGCAGGTCTTTGATTGCATACGCGATTGTTTACGACCTAGTCGAGGTCTAGTCAAGAAACAGGTACATGATGTCAAAGGGGTCATAGTCAGCCGTGCAAGAGACCTAGTTGCTGTTGATCCTACTCGAGCCGCGCAGACTTTGAAGCAGTACACTTCCGACCTTTTACGATCAGTTTTGAGTTCACTGGAGGATGAATCGGATGCTCAATATCAATTCCTCAAGTCACTGATCGAACCCGATGTACAGCGTCCCGAAGAAGCGCAACCCCAACCCGAGGATCTTCCGTCAGGGTTCACGGAACGTTACGTCCAGTTGATGTGCAAGTACAACAGCACTCATGTCGCAGACTTTGTCAGCCTTCTTAAATCGGGAGACCTCATGCTAGATCCTGTCCTTCCCGCTCTAGAGAAGAGCGGTGTTATTGACGCAGCCGTTGTTCTCATGGCTCGCGATGGCCTTGTCAAAGACGCAATGGACCGCCTTGTGAAGCATCTTGGTACTCTCGAGACTGCTCTTACTGGGTTGGTGAGCGCTGCCGCAGATACCCCGGATGCAGCAAATACAGAAGAGGCGGTTCAGGATCTTCTTAACGACATCCAGAAATATGTGAAGGTTGGCATATGGCTTTCTCAAGGGCAGACGAGGTTGATGGGGTCTCCAGTGGAGTCAATGATTGATCGAAGGAAATCGGCATATGGCGAAGTTAAAGAGCAGGATCTTGCCCTTGATGAATTGCTCTGGTTGGATTTGGTCGATACAGTTGTTCGCTTGACAAAGGCCGTCTCATCTGCGGTCTCGGAGCTAGAAGGCATCTTTGATGCTATAAATACTGATCAGCCGAAGCCAATCGACACAGTGAAGATTAGAACGACACTTCGCTCAGCCGTCCAACAAACCTTCTCCGCACTCCTCGCCTCCACCACCGTACCGCCGATGCCCTCACCATCAACCTCCCAAAGTGCCACATCATCTACAACTCGCCCTCAACTCCACCACAGGAAAATCCAACCTCAAACAAACACCTCCTTCCTCCGCATTCTCCGCAGTTTCCTTCTCCGCGCATCTTCTTCTTCCCCCTCGCTCTCAGATCTCCGTTCTGTATTGCAGGAAATCTTCTCAGCCTATACCTTCGAAGAAACGATTCTCAGTCTCGCAAACCGCTTCCTCGATAAAGAAGGCTTTGCCCAAGTCCAAGAGATCACCGAACTCCGCCAACGTGGCTGGAGACCCCGCGGTCAAGTCTGTGAGGGCTGTAGAAAAAGAGCTTGGGGTCCTGGCGTTGGTGGCGGGGTGTGGGATGCTTGGGAACGTAAGGGGAGGGTGGATGCGGCTGAGAGAGCTAGTAAGCGGGCAGCGGAGGAGAGTGGGAATGGGAATGGGAATGGGAAGGGGAAGGGGAAAGGGAAGAGTGCGGATGTGGATGGTGATGGGCATGGAGAGGAAGAGGATGTGGCAGGAGAGATTGGCAAAGGCCCGTTGGTTGTATTTGCTTGTCGGCATATGTGGCATCGGAGCTGTTTGGAGAAAGCTGTGGCGATTGGGGAGAGAGTGGGGGAAGGGCAGGAGAGGAGTGAGCTTGTGGGATTGGGGGGAAAGAGGCTCAGGTGTCCTGTTTGTGTATAGTTTAGTGTGAGTTTGTAGCGTTCGATCATCATGGAAACTTGTTCTCTCCTTTCTCTTCTTTCTTTGTATGAGCAGAATGGGTGTCGGCAATTGATGATGGTTTGTTGTAAGAGCTTGATGATTATCTGAAGGCAAGCATTTTCATGGCTGGTGGCTTAAAGGAAGTATTTATACAGTCTCAGCGTCAATATAAACTATTTCTCTTCTTTCTCTGTTTTTATCTCCAGAGTTCAATTCAACTACCATACCTACCCCCTTCTTGTGCATCTTAACTAGTCTTATACTGAACATACGTAACTAACCCACTATACACACAACACCACAACGTTGCATCGCGATAAAGCCATCCACCCTCACTCAACTCCCTCCTCTTATTAAAATTCTTACAAAGAATGCCGCTCCACCTCCTAGATTTAATTCTCTTAGGCTTCGTCTCTACGTTTGTTCATGATATTGTAGTCTTCATGCTTACGTCTATCGGTGGTGCTCCAATAATGTTCTAGATCTTCTTTGCGGCTGTAGCGACGTGGAGTAGGTGGTATGGGTGGTTGGGTCGGTGGTTTGAGGGGAGGGTGAGGGAGGGATTGGAATTGGTGGTAGCCGGGCGCTAGTGGTTGAGGTTTGTGTAGGTCTTGACGGAGGTGAGCCAGGTTTGAGGTTATGACTGGTGCGTTTGGTGTGTTTGTATGTTCGGTGAGGGAGGTGGTGTATCTTGCAACTTTACCGCGCAGTCAAGGCAGGTTCTAGAGGAGGCTGACGGAGCCGGATGGATAGTGATGTTGGATATCTTGTTTGAGAGTGAGGTGTTGGAGTATCTGGAGAATATAGTAGAAGACGGAACGTCTACTAGAGTGCGGTGCAACCTATGCAGTTTGTGAAAAATGCTAATAGAGGCGGAGATCTGGAAATGAAAGGCGATGTTTCTTGGGGATAGAAGGCAGCTAAAACATCCACTGGAATTAGTGTCAGATATGCTAGAGATCGGCCTTGAGGCAAGGAGAAGTTTTAATAGCTTGCATCTAGAGGAAGATGCCCCAATACTGCATAGAGAAGACTTGGACTGCTCGAGCTGCTATTAGTACTCTATTATGATCAGCGTCACACGATTATAAGCTGTCACTCCCACCAATCTCGCTTGAATAACCCTCAGTCTTTCACCTCCAGCTCAAAGACCACATTTATCATCACAACGACGCCATATCTGCTTCACCAAAACTTCATCTTTCGCAATTAGAATTGATCAAATCGTTTTTTGTCTATATATACAGAATATGACAGATCAGAAAGCACCAATCAGAAATTTGGGAGTCGGTGGCGAAGTGGGCGAATGCAGCGGCTTTGAGATGCCTAGCACGCGGTTCGATTCCATATGGCAACCTTTAAGACTATCTTATTTCAGGCGCAACAGAAAACGAGTCACACTCATCTTCAATGACAGCCAGTCGACCTACAGTATCACTATTGCACAAGTGCATTTCAGAGCGCTCAGTTCACGCTGTAGAGAGGCATTGGCTTGAGAGGGGTTTTCTGGGTCGCATCTCGGGTTAGCCAGACCTGTTACAATGCGGTTTCTTTTTGCCGGGGTTTTTAATCTGTGATGTCATGTGAGATTTGGCGGCGGTTGCTTTTGTATGGTGATGGTGGGGAGAGCTTTAGGTGGCAGTGATGGTGAGGTTTTGTTATTGAGGGATATTGGTTGAGGTCAAGTAAATGACTCATTCGCTTTGCGGCATGCATTTAGGAATGCTGGACGAACAAAATAATGGCTAATATGCACAGTGATGAATGCATACATATATATAATAACGAAAGTGTTATATTTACTAGGAAGCCTTCACCTGCTGTCATACATCCTCATCCGGATACTGATCTAGCCAACCGCCCTCTTCACCCCGCAGAAACTCCGACATGTCCAACTTCACATTCCACCATATTTCGACTCCTTGCTGTGTCCCTCCACTCACCCCCGTAGTCGGAAATGTCGCTTTCGGTCTTCCTGCTTTCTGCTACCGCCAATGCTTGGAAAATGCTAGCTTAATAGTCAGATGTGTTGGTTTAAGATCGCGCTCCTCGTCACATAGCTTGTGGAGTATGTTGTTGAAGGTAGAGGTGAACTTGCTCACGGCGAGCTCCCATAGAATGCGCTAAGCACCTTGTTGTGATACACATAGGTCGTGGAGCAACGGGAATATGGGCGTAGTGCACGAGGCGGGCGTGATCTGGGTAGTCTGGCGTGAGGGCTCTTGGTCTACTTTTGTAGATATTTTGTTTTGAACAGGAACAGTAGTTTCGTCGTTATGAACAAATCTTCCTTTAGAATCTTTGTCGGTGCAAAGCATCAGAATCGCCGTTCCACAATCTTCGAACCACAAAATATTCTAATAATCTCCGTCAAGAGAAGAAGTTGATGACATAAGCTCTAAAAGCTCATCGAATATGACGTGGGGTGGTTTGTTGTTCAGCTCCGGATTTGGATGCGACGGATCGGTATATCCACACAGACCAGAAGCAAGAGGCGGTAGCAGGGCATATGCAGATTTGGTAAAATTGCGGAGCTCACTTCGAATTATAATGTTACAATTCATATCGCCCCCCATGAGCGTCCTCGTCTCTCTGTGTGTTGTCGATTGTACATTCAAGGCCCCACTAAAGTTCCTAAAGTTTTCGAACAGCAAGAGAAGAGATAAGCTACCACAAACAATCCGACAATCTTCTATATAAAGTTGGAAAACCTTTCCCTTTCATGCATGGAGACATATTATAGAGTTAAGCCCCGAGTATACGATGCTTGCCTTGCAATCCTCGCTCCTTGTGCGCTGCTATGCATGTGTCTACTACGAATTTCCCGCGCACCTCTTCTTCTTAGAACACTCCTTGTATTCTCCGCCAATTGATCACACTCTTTTACATATGTTAAATTCATTTACTACTATTGCCATGCCTTTCATCACGTTTATTCCATTCGCTTTTCTTTCCCCTCTCCACAGCTCCCTTGCACGCAGCGTGGCCAACAGTCCGTAGTACGTAACGTAACTACGTGAACGTAGTAATCACGTGAGGCGTACAAAAGTAGTCAAAATGTGAGACGTAACTTTTGTACAGTGAATTGCCAAGTACGTACTGTAGTACAGGTCAGAGAGGTTATATTTTAGGAGATTTCCCTCCTGTTTTTAGACCCTATTAGCTATCACGTTAGGAGCTTTGTTTAAGGTTGCGTTTTAAAGTAATAATTAGATAAAACTCTACGTTTTATAGTATAGTAGCCTAATTAGTGTGCTAAGTAGCCCCCTATAAAAATAGTTAACTTTTGCCCTAGAAAAGCTCTTTATCTTATTAATTATTATAATAAGCTAGATGTCTTAATTCCTTTATTACAGCAGGTGTATAGCCTTATCCTAATCCTTCTACTTATTAAAGTTGTTTTAATAAGCTAAGGTGCTTTATTACGCTAGCTTTTATTATTTTACTAAATTAAGGTTAGCTCTCTTAGAGTTGTTAGTGCCCTTAACCCTAACTCTAGCCCTAGGCAAAGATGTATTCTCTTGTAATTTTCTAGTAGACGCGCACCTTAACTCTAGAGCCTCTTTTATAATAGAGTAAAACAATGTTTAGCTAGGAAAGAAAAAGCTAGTGCTAGAAAGACTTAGCTATTAAGTAAAGCATAAAAGTTAACTCTGTAGCAATTATCCTGTCTTCTAGGTCTAGCGTTATAGGGGGGATTTAGTGTACAAGGACAACAACAGCACTATTCTTAAAGTGTAGCTTTGTAAAAGATGTCACCTCTAAGGGCAACACAAAGCTGCAAAAATTATTAGTAGTTATAATTATATTATCTCTTATCTCTAGAAAAAGCATAAAATTAATGCTAGTAAAGATCTCTTACCTAACAGCTTAAGGCTTCCTGCTAATCCTTTTAAAGCTATAATAGAAGTAGCTAAATCTATAAGGATTGTTTTTTATAAGGCTTAGCAAAAAAAAGCTTTTTAAGCTGTAGTAATAGACTAAGTTATTTCTTAAAATTAAACCTTTAGAAACGCATCTTTAGCTAAAACTTACAAAGTACTTACTTAGAACTACGCTAACCTTCTTAACGCTATACTATCTTCCCACACTACGCTCTTAACCTATATCTAGAACAGTCTAGTGCGCTAAAAGCAGGAGATTTAAATAATACTAAGATTAGCCTATAGTAAAATTACACTAAGTGTTAATATATAAACTTCTCTAAACTACTTATCCTGCCTAAGGGTAGTAGCTTATTTTTTTAGTATGTACTAGCAAAACCTTAGCCTAGCTGCGTTAGCGCAAAAATTAAAACTACAACACTAACATCCTCTACATAAATGCTAACTACTAGCACAGAGACCTCTTTATTAGCTTTAACAATCTATACAGAGACCACACTAGAGAGAATTAAGCGCTAGAGATTATTAAGGTGCTTAAGGACTACAAAATTATGTTTAAATTTTATTACTATATTACTAACAATGCGTTAAACAATAACGCAGAGACTATTATAACTTTAGCTAAAAAGCTTTACTTGCCTCTTACTACTAAACACTATATCTACTGCGCTAGCTATATAATTTAAATTATTGTTAAGGCAGTTATATACAGCTAAGAAGTCTCTACCTTTAAAAAAGCTCTAGCCTAAGCTGCTCTAGATAATTAATTTAAGCTATACTAACAGTAAGGCGTTGTAGGCAAGTTGCACAACTTTGTTAACATAGTGCTAGCATCTTATAAATAATAATTAGCCTTTATAACTTTTTAGGCTTTACTCTTAGCTAACAATCTTCTCTAGAGTTTTAGCACCCTTAATCTTATCTAGAACAGTAGAGTACGCTAGCACAGCATATATCTTATGCTTTTACGTTGCTATAAGTTAAAGGAGCCTATTAGTAAGTTTCTACGTAAATAATAAAGTGCTAACATGTTAATAGCTGCTACTCTCTATAAAACTATCTTTAAAGAAAAGTAGAAGAAAGTTAATTATCTTATTAAGTTTCTCTAGTCCTTTTACTTTATAATAAAAAGACTTAAGGGTAACAGCAAGTACAGCTCTATCTAGATAACTATAGTCAACCTCTAGCACCTGTATACAGAGCTTACAAAGATAGAGGAGAAGCTTAAGGGTAAAAGCAATAATTGCTACCTTAAAAATAGTGTTATGTTTAGGATCTAAAAGCTAACCTTATACTAAAAGAAGATTATTATAGATTTACCTATATTATACTGCGCTATTGCAACTATTCTTAACCCTTAATTATAACTTGTTTAGTTTAAAGACTACTAGCGTAAGCACCTAGCATAGCATAAGTAAGCTAAGGCTTTAATAAAAGCAGTTTTTTAAGACTATATTAATAAAAAGACAGAGGGTAATAAAAAGGAAAAAAATTTATAACCTTACTAGCATAAGCTCCCTAGTGGCAAGTATTATAATAAAGGCTATAAGTAAACTCTCTCTGTTAACATAAGCCTTCTTATAGGCTTAAGGTTATACAAAAAACAGCAGAAAATAACAGAGCTTTAACAATACTATAATAGCTACATTAAAGACCTCTCTATAGCTAAGGAGGGATCCCTACTATTCTAATTACCTCTTACTTAGTAGCTTAAAGTTAGTTGTTACTCCTACCCCACACTCTTTAAAATCGCCCTTAATTTCCTCTATATACTCTTAACAAGCTGCAACTGTAAGAGAGCCTTCTCTAGAGGCAGGAGGACAGTTACAATTAATAAAAACTGCTTAGCAGGTTGTATAATTAAGGCTTTGCAGCTCTAAAAGAACTAGTTACGTTACAGGGCTGTAAAGAGTAAATTAACTACTCTAGGGGACTTTATCTAGGCTAAAAAGCTTCTCCTAGAACAATTTTAACCTAGACTAACAAAACTTCTTGCAAAAAGTACAAAAGTATAAGGATTTTAAGAAGTTACTGTTACGTTACGTACTTGCTAATTAATTCACCGCTTACGTACAAAAGTACTACCAAATTGAGAAGTTACTGGCAGAGAAAAGCTCAAACGTAACGTACTACGTACTGTTGGCCACGCTGCTTGCACGTTTCTCTGCTGTGCAATGACCATACACTGACAAGACGTGGTAATAGCAATAGCCTCTTCGAATTTCTACCACGAGCAGGAGACGAAATAGGCTACTCCGAGCATTGTGTGCTGCGAGTGGACTCAGCACAGCGGCCTTTTAGTAGAACTTTATAACTAGTGGTATTAAAGGCCCCGTTATCTAAGGTCAGTTGTAGCCTTGTGACTTAGCTTTTTATTACTATATCAATTAGCGAGTAATGTTTTCCATAGCAGGGGAGAGTTTTGACAACAGGATGTTTCTAAGAAGAAATAGTACTGTGTGGTGATCTGCAGGGTGAGTACGGAATTCCGAGAGACTGATGTAGAATCTTAATACTCAGACGAATGCCTTCATGTCATCGGCGCTGGTCGTTTTGTGTGGTTGGAGAGCTTAATAATTTCTGCAGTTGAGTATCAATAAGCAAATTCATTTCGTAGCGAAGAATAATTGCCGGACTCTCCAAATAGTGAGTAGGTGAATAAGGGAGTTTGGGGCTGGGACTTTCATTCTGATTTTGCTGAATCGATCGCGACTATTTAGTCTGGCCACGAACGCACCTTCTCCTAAAGCTACACTCTACAGACGAACCTGCTCACCTTTCTGGGAAGCTGCAATCCATGATACGTGAGATTCCCGGTCCCCCAAAGAACATCCCCGATTCGTTGTCTTCATATCAACATTCGCCCTCGAATTGCTATCTTTACATCGGTACCGGTATCTACATCCGCGTTCGAGATTTCGAAATATCTGCTAAGAGGGACTCGAGTAGAAATCGTGTTAAAACCAACAAGCCAAACTCTTCTAGATAGCGCCAGGGTGAACCCTTCCCGCGAGGATATATGGACGAACAAGACTTCATCTCCGTTATCTTCTTCTTCCTCACTCTTCGCTTCTTCACTCGCCTCTCATTCCGTGATCTCTCCTCAGAACTATGCCAGTGCGCTAGTATGGCTTTCGATAGTATCATGCAAGATGTCGACAAGTTACGGCGCAAAGTATCGCGTTTGGTGCGGCGGGTGTGGTGGTGCGCAACACGGCGGGCGCATCGGGTTAGAGTGTTTGCCGACACTCTGGTCTTGTTCTCTGCCGTAGTGTTTACGCTCACTTTCGCCTATGTGGAATACGAAAAGAGGAAGATAGTGGAAGGAGCATGGAGTGCCACCGATGAAGAGAGGCTAAGGAGCACATACGAGTGTCTGAATTGACAGCTGAACCGCTTCTTGGTATGAGAGATATTCATGGGGATCTTGTCGATCGGCACAGGAATGTGTGAACCGCACGCGCCCTCAACTTCTTGGCTCTGGACTTTAACCTTCATTCACTGTCATATACGATTCTCCCACAGACACCGCACGTCGCATTTTCCCCTTTCCGCATGCTTCTAGTTTCTCCAAGTCTGACACAAAATTCTCTGGAGCTTACTCATATCAACAAACCATGGACTTACACGTCAACACGGCTCTTCTTCTGCGTTTCATTTCGCTAGGGTTCTTCACCAGCCTATATTTCACAACCTCTTCCCCGCACTTCTAGAATGCTTTTTAGTGTCTCCTACCCAGGTTGTGGATACTGGGGTAGTTTTTGTTTTAGAAATATCGATGCTGCGGTATGGTGCCTCATGGGTGTGCCTGGTGCTGTGGATTTCGATTCTTCGAGCATCTTGGGTATGGTTCATGGGCGATCGTATCGTGGCGAGAGCTGTCTGGAAAGAGTGAGCCTAAGAGAGACAGCTGGGCCTGGAAAGGAGACGATGGCAAAAGGCCATTGTCGAGGAAGGTATTAACGCAGGCGTTTCATAGCTATCTAAACCTCCAACGAAGACATAGTGAACTTCACCATAAGGTATTGAAGTGTAAAGCCGGTTCGTTCCAGTATCATACAAGTGATAGCCTTCCTTCTCTTATGTGTCTTATAAATACTTTCTCCTTTGGTCGGACTGTCTGATTGCGTTCTCGTAAGTGATAACAAGATAATAATCTAAGATGTTAGAAAAAGACCTTCCCACCATTAAGTCTGAGCTTTTGGAAGTCGCCATGTTGCTGTTGCTGTTTTGTAACCTCGTCTTTGCATAAAAAGCTTATGAGGATCACGAATGGCGATTCACTGGTGGAATTCTTGGCCACTAGAGAGGCGTTAAGATCAATTTCCGTCCTTTTTAGGTACTTGTAAGTCACAAGACCGTGTAATAGAGCCTTCATTGTGATATTGTTTCTAGCAAATGAGTAGGCACCATTTAAGTTGCAAGGATCCGGGCCAACACATTCACTCCTCACCCTCGTACCCTAATTTGGAATAGTGGATCTTGCTTCAACGGCCTCGAAACAATCTTGCACTCAATCGCGTCTTCCGTTAAACTAACAAGCGACAAGATGTTAGATAGTACATTCATCGTCGCTTCCCTTGTTAGCGCCCAAATTATCTTCGACCCGCCCCTTCAGTTCGATGTTCCAAACCTGCTCGGACACCTTGTCCAAAGCCTTGGCTCTAGGGTAGAACCCACAGGCCTTGATATTACATGTCTTGTGGGATATGCATGGAAGGCTTAGTTGGCAATAAGAGGTAATAGAATCAACAGGTACAGTGTGTATCGTTGTTTACGACTGTCACGTTGCTATCTATCATTTAAGACGAACGATCGAAGCAGTTCAAATTATACAAAGAGATGTATTTGGGCCGAAAGACTGCAATGAGAGATGATCAAAATTTGACTTACGCGTTTGGACTGATGGGAACGCATGGGTTGTATCCATAGTGAGAGTATGCCCCCCCATGTAGCCGGGTTGCGGTGACCAATGACCTGAATAAATGCATCTTGCTTGACTGAGGCATCAGCGGGAGCAGCGAGGGCGGTAGGAAACAGTGCCCCCAAAAAGAGGAGAGCCTTTACCAAGCGCATGGTTGTACTAGTGTTGGTGAAGTTGATGATGTTTTAATATGTAATCGGGGAAGTAGTAGGAAAGAGACTGGACAAGGTGGGCTTATATAGGAATGGTAAATGAGCCATGAAGGGAACGTGAGAGACGACTAGCTGCTTGGTTTTATGCCATTGCTTTATCCAGTGGAGAGAAAATAAGAGGGAGTTGAGGCGAGTGAAACGTTGGGGAGAACTGACCCGTGTTGCTTTTTCCGAGACTGTTTGTTTTCGTCCACAGAGTGGGAGCCTGCGTCATAATCGATGCGGCATAATCGCTACGGCTGTTCATATTGAAATTTCGTTTTACGTAGCTTGGACTCCATTGTGAAGCACAAACACTGGGCAGGATGTGTTTAGTAGCATCGTAGCAAACAAGAAAAGGACAAAGGGTACTAGGCCCTGAAACTTTATACCTAAAGGCATAGAAGCACCTTGCCGCTAAGCTAAGATGATATAACTGATTATGGTAATAAAAGAGGATGAACCTGAGACATAGCACCTTGGATAATCCATATGCCATTGAACTAATGACCGCCCCTCTGCTGACATGAAAGACTCGTATAGCTGTCTGGACAATGCAAACCAACCCTCATTAAGTTCTGCGATAAAAGATGTCTCTAAAAGGACTGGAATCACCACTGTGGAGATCTGCTTTAATGCTAGAAACACTGACAAAAATTTGGTAGCTTCCCTTAGTCTCGCTGGGTGTCGTGAAGTTGGGCTCATGTGCGGTCCAGATCATGTATTAGCCGTTCTGGGGATGTGGAAAGAGCAGTTACGGGGAAGATAGAAGGCGTGAACGCCTTCTTCGGGAAGGATAAAGACGTAGAATGTGTCGCTGCCAATATCAGTCTGTGCGACTTCATGTAATTGGCGGTGAAATTTTGCTGGATGAGTTCAGTTTGAAATTAGGGAATGAAACGGTAATAGAGTGCAGACAGAGAATCCAAACCAAAAAAGGGGTCTTACTCCTTTGGGCGAATTTAGAAGCACTTATCATACCCAAAAATAGGGATGAACTCTTTCTCGGGGATGGGTTTTCCTTGGTCAATTATTCCCGGATCATCTTGATCGATCGTTGTGCCGAGAAGAGCACGGAAACTCGAAGGGAAAGGAGGCCCGAGAGGCAGGAACAGAAGCTTGGAGAACCGCCTCGTGGTCCTAAGTCGAGATAATTGAGTATTCAAGGTGTAGGGCTGGAGGCAGCAGGGGGAATTGAGATCTGCTAAGCTAAGTTTATACATGGAGGAAGATAGGCCAAGGAAGGGGGAGGTAGTCATTTCACTGGACGGCTATTAGTGACGGTATACCCCCACGTTACCTTATGAAGAGTACATAAGAATAAGTTGAGTTGAAAAGCAAGCTCAGTTGTCGGTTTACTCCCGCAAACATTGCGCACAAATACTTCTATGCGGACCGCTTGTCTTCGACCATCAACACGGAGCCTGAATGCTACCTACCTCGTTTATTAACCTAAAGTTCCTGGGAAATGTTTGGGTACTTTGTTTCTTGAATTTTTGAATACTCGACTAGGATCTATCATCATGGAATTGAGAACAAACGCCGTAGCGCACGAGATAATGCAGGTGTACGAGGGTGAGAAAAGGGCACATAAACAAGAGCAGAGCATGTGCTAAATGACAGATGTGTAGGCAGATTGGAATGGGGAAGCAATGGTTTACTCACAATTCAATTTTTACAGCTGAAGACGAAGGTAAAATACAAATGTTTAAGTGGAAGCCGAAACGGGGGTTACGAAAAGTGCTTAGCTCCGACTTGTGTGTGTACGGCACAGCCTGTTGCGCCGCATCCTGCTTAATCTTCACACGCCCCAACTCACCAGGAGACCCTACGTCTTCACCATCACTTCATTCTGCATTTAAAGCTCGACAATACTTCCATTTTCCGCGATGGTTCCTATTACTCTTCGGCGGCTTCCGGATGAAGAGAGACAGCGTAACGGTGAGATTACCTACACTATCCTTGGCGTTGTTGCGTCGTTGCAAATTTTCGCGGTAGTCATCTGGCTATTTTGGCGTGGTTGTAAGAACAAAAAAGTAGAAGGGAAGAGGACGTGCCGTTTGTGGAGGTGAGGAGAGATGGTGTGACGATTGCGAGGATTGAAGAAATCCACAGAATTAAAGTGTCCATCGGAGTATGAGCTCCCATTTTTGGCTGAGGCTTTCAACGAGTGTTTTCGTCATTTGGTCGTTTGCAGATGGCCATTTTCGCGGGGTCAAGATAGGAAGGTCCCCGAGTCCACACCGATGGTAGCGCGTATCAGGAACTATGGGTACCGACCTCGACTTCTCCTTCGCCGAAGCTACCGCCAATAGCTCAAGAATATCGAAGAACACTTCAAAGTCTTCTTCTAGTGGCACTTCACACTCCATCGGAAGTTCCGATGATGGTGGATATAAAATAACAAGCACGGGAGAAAGCAACCTGGGGAATAAACTACTGTCATCGTGACGAGGCCCGATTGCTCCAAATGACACTCTCTTCATTACTCAAACTGGTGAGGGACACAATTACGAGGCGCGCGAGGAAAACTAACTTTATGAATCAGGGATGGATCTTCCTACTAAGTCGAATCTGGATGGGCTCAAACAATAGGATGGTAGAAAACGAAAGGCCACACACGGTCCTCCAGGGCCCGGCAAAAGATGAGAGATTGTAAAAGTGGAAAGCAAAGAGCCATCATATTCCTTCTTCCACTAGGGCTGGGATTGCTTGTTCATTCGAGATTGGTATTGCATTATTTGCTTCTTCGTGTACATCTCCATGATCTGTCTGTTTCGTTTGAATTCTAAAATTCCGTAAACAATTGTCTTTTGGTTTGTTTGGCGTTCAGCCCACTGGGGAAGCCCCAAAAACGTGCTAAGTCGCCGACTGACTACATGCAGCTACGGATCCGCCATGGCGCTAGCACCGCCATTACACAGGCGATCTTCCACAACTGTAGCGGATGAAATGTTCATGTGAACATGTGAACCATGGTTGAAATCCCAGTTATGTGGATGCGGAGGGGTTGAAGATCCATAAAGGGACGATAAAGGTGATGCGACCCGCTCTTTTGTTTCTTCAATCAAACTCAGCTATTCATATCGCTTCCAAAATGTTGCCTGCAGACGCATTCTTCTACCAGTGCCTTGCTCCGGCGCCCAATAACCCGAGCAAAGAGGTCAATCGCTGGTGGTTCCGAGGCCGCAGGTTCTCTTTCGGTGAGAAGAAGTTAGGAACTGGGATGGATTCCAACATGTGACTACTCCCTCCTCTTGAAAATTTACCGCTAACTTCATGTAGCACACCCTCATCTTTTGACTTGAAATCCGATGGTCCTACCTTTGGGGGTGATGAGAAACCAACTGGGAAATGGCTGTGGCAGCGAAAAGGTGGAAATTGAGGACTTCACTCTTTTCTGGAGTCTATACGGCAATAGCAGCAATATGAACGTCCAACCTTCGAAATGTCCATGAGCAAAAGTCATTTACCCCACTCTCGGCGTGCAGATATAAGCTCCCTTATTTGGTTAGCCTATCACATGACTTCGTGAGGACTCGGAATACTAGCGCGATAGAGGCATGGTGTTCCAGGGATTAGCTTGCATCCCAATACCTTTGTTACCCCGCCTTTATATCCTTATCCGCACCTCATGTCACCACATCCGACGCCTGCATTGCGTCAATTGGAAGACAAACCTGGAGTACTTGGCATCGAGACTCGCCCTGAGTTTTTCATCTTCAGGGCGGTGTTGTTGCGGACCCGGCGTGCACGCGTGCTCTGAACTCACGGCGAATCATTGACGGGGCAACAGATCCTTACTGGAACCACGAGATAATTGTCCTATCGTCCGACCACTTTCCATCCGGATTAAGACTGTTGAAATGGATGAAATAACATCCAAGATGACTTTGGAAGATTGGTCACGGGATAACGCGATGTTGCACTACGCGCCTCAGCTAGGTTTCTCACATGAATGGCCTCAATTCTCGCATTAGGTGAGTCGTATTATAGTCTTGAGTAGAGTATGGGTTACTAAGAGAAGTGGTGTATTATGGTCTGAGGGCTGAGATGCAAGGAAATTAGGTTTCGTGTGGGACGCCAAGTCTTGAGTTGATTGGACAACCCATCGAAGAAGCCCTTTGGCTTTCATGTGTTCTTGGCAAGGCAAGCTGAAAGGGAGTAGAAGAGGGGCAGTGGCGCCACCGTTGCTCAATTCCCTCTGTTCCCTCCTCGTCTCACCACAACCTCACAGCCATTCAAGACCCAATTTCCGACTACATCTTCAATTCAGATCTCGAACCCTCCAAAACAATCACCATGACTAAAGGATCTTCTGGCACCAGCAGCGGTAGCTCTGGTGGGCAAGGATACACCGTGACGAGCTCTGGCACCAACAGCCAGGTATACTACCCCATATAGTAAAACTTTCTCCCATACTCGTGCATGGTGACTAATGAATTGGGTAAGGGCAACCACTACTGTTCTCGCGACTACGGCTCCGGTGCTTCCAACTCCAATTCGTACCACTACTCCAACAGCAACGGGTCATACTACTACAGTAACCCCAATGTGAGTTATTAGAACCTTTCATATACTGCGCGTCTGGGCTCGATTTGATATATAGAGGGGACTAGATGAACATTTTGAGATGAGCGTCGTCCGCCTCGGAGGAATAGTGTCCTTTATTTGACAGTGTCTTATTTGATGTCAGTTCTGAGCATTAAACTAATTACTTTGGAAGGGCTCGACTTACTACAACTCTGGAAACGGTCAATCTACCTACAAATCTGGCAAGTAGATGCCTGACTCGGCCGCTCTATGTTCAATACCATCGTGGTGGTGGATGAGACCGAACATCAACTTCGTGGCGGCTCAATATATTCGTAGGTAGCAGACTTGTAGGGCCGGGAACGCAATAACATGAATTAAAGAGCATATGATTGAAGCCCTATTCCTAACAATACTTGCAGCTTTGAGCTTATATGTGACATGACAGAAATCATGCTCCAGTGTTAATTGTAAGTCTTGGCGCAAACAAACAAAACACGTCCTCGACTACTTTAAAATACAGAGCCCCCATATTCCACACCAAAATGTTGGTGAGTGAAATTTACGGAATGGTAGTGTGAAAAGTTGCTTACCCGAGCCCAGTGATGTTATTTTGGTGATATGCCTGGGTTTGGGGCTATAAGTGAATCCCTTCACTATCAACCACCCACTCCTCCCCCTCTACTGCCCTTGGAGTGAAATACCTATCTCTCTCAAACATACAGCTACCCGCGGCTTCAAAAAGCTCTCACGTCCTCCGCTTTGATGTGACGTGCTGACCTGATCTGGCATAGCTTTGTTACTTCACGTGGCATTTTGCCACCCAGGTCCACATAAAGCACTCGCCCTCCACCTCTGGCCCTCCTCAAGGTACACACCTTCATTCTCTGTTCTGTTTCACTTGTTTCTATACGGCATAACTGCTACATTCAAGGTATGTTACCCATTCCATGAACGAGAAGTGTTAGGTAGCTGACCGTTTCTATTCGTCTCAAGTCTCGTGTTAATCTTCACTTCTTTTAGCGCAAAATGGCCCAAGATTTTGCCTTCGTTGCACCAGAGCTAGGGGAGTTCTATGACCTCCTCATGTCGCCTGCTCAGGCTTTTCTTGCGAAGTCGTTGGATCCCATTGTCCTTCATCTGGCTGTCCCGGTCAAGCCAAGACTTGCGTGAGTGCCCTTATCACTATGAAGTCTCTTGTTCGACTGACATGTACATATAGTACCAATGGACTTTCGGATGCCACTGAGCCAGTGGTTTCGGTTGGCGATATCAAATTTGCTAGGTCATGGAAGCGAAAACACTCGGAGGTCGCGGTTGCCCCTGGAGAATTCGGTGCGGAGATGCAGTGAGAACATTGATTTAGCTAATGATACCTTCTAACTGCTGATATTTTTACAGACTCAGGCATACTGCTAGGGTAGCCCGCCTTAGGGCGGAGCGTACTGATTCGTCGAGCGAGATGGCCCGTTTGGGGGCACACCAGCTCAACTTCAACGCCAACGCCCCTAGTCACATCCAAAAGGCCAACAACACTATAGATGATACCACTAGAAGTGAGAGTGAAGGTGTGAACAACGACAGCTCTACCAAGTTGAATGACACTATCATGTCTAAGAACAACGCTATTGACGTCGCGCAACTCCGACCTGATGTTTCCCCCTTGGCAAGCATGCCTCGGGAATTGCAAATGATGATTTTCGAGAATCTTCACAGTATTCGCGATATTGCAGCTCTGAGTCTGTCAAATGTCAATCTCGCTAACTTGGGTCGTACCTACGTTCTCGAATGGTGGATGTCGCAGCTTGGCACTTGGGCAGGAAAGAAGATTGCATGTGTTGGCGAGAACACTGAGTGTCTGTTCCCAGAAGATTTTTTCACAGAAGACGAGGACGAGGACTTCCGACTCGGCGATCTTGCCCCTCACACGGACTATGCCGATACAGTTGCTTGGGACAACTGGTACAGGGAGATCGATGAGGATATTCTCCTTCCCAAACGGTTCATGCGTGAAGGATATAACCCCCGCCTGGATTTCATTAGCAGCATCTCACAAGCGAGACACAGTGGCCAGATACTGGCTCAAGACTCCGTGTTCTATCCCATTGACCAGCCCTGGATCCTCCGAAATCTCACGACGAAAGAATTTGTGCGCGCCGATGGGATTGCTATCATGTCAAACCACATCCATGGTCCCTTCATCAAAAACCTCGGCTTCGGCGATGTTCTTCTTGCTCGGACGTGCTGGTCTACCGACGACGACACCGGCCTCGTTGACTATAACGAGGAGATACATCAAGGTGTCTGGGCGGGTCATTGCTTTGACATTGTCACTGTCGCACACCATAACGAGAAGAAGAAGCCAGGCGAGAACTGGCAGGACGTAAGCGAAGAAGTTTCAAAAGAGGTACGTGCTATCTACATAAGTGAACGTTCTGCCTTGTAAACCTTGCCCCCTTGCCTGCTCCCTTGCCTGCCTCCTGGTTGTAATAGAACTTAACCTAGCTCCCGATACAGTAGATTAGCCTCATCAATTCTCATTCTGGGGCTTGGAAGTTCGCTTAGTCGGCTGAAGGATGTTTAAAAGGTAGAGGTAGTAATTTCGTTTGTGAGTAGGTTGTGAATGGAAGCTTGGGTGGTCTATGGAATTGGTTTTAATTCTCTGGCTAGGAGTGGAGGGAATTCAAGCATTGAATGGGGTAATTTGCGCACGAAGGGTGTCTGCATGGAGGCTTAGGCTGTCTGTGAAAGTATTAGTTTGCTGGCTGGGAAAGGAAGTAATTCAAAGGTTAAAACGTAATTGAGATGGAGTTGGGCTGGCATGATGGAAATTCGGGTTCTCGACAAGTTAGGTAGTATTCTTCTTCACCGACTAAAGAACCAATACGTGAGTCGTGCAAGACAAAGTAGTCATGTTTGTTATAGAGGAGAGAAACGGACACTCGTATCACCTGACTTATGTGATGAGCACGATTTGTTAGTGGAAGGGATTGACACAGACTCCTACGATTTAGGCAATTCTTCGTCGGTTGAAACTGCCCAAATGACGGGCCACATCTGAACTACTCTCCAGAACCATCTTCTGGTGTCAGAAGTAGCTCAACTTCTTACTCAACATTGACTCAAAAAAATTAGTTCAGCTTTGCACGTTGAGCTTTTGTTCTGTAGACGCTTGTTCTGTAGTAGTGCCTCTACACCGCGGGGTACAATATTGGAATAGTCCTCCGAAATCAATTGATGACTGCGAAGGCCAAAGGCTGGAAAAGTTCACATTGTTATCCCCAAAAGGATTAGCGGCTGACTGACATCATTCACCCCACCATCGCTCCACAGGTCTTCAAAATCTCCATAGTGAGCGTATTCCTGCGTCAGCCATCAAACCTCATCTAGGTTCGTCATCTAGAAGAAAGGATTTTGTTGCGAACTGTGTTTCTCAATGAAACTCGAAAATACAACACCATTAAGACAAACCTCTAGACAACATCCTCCCCTGAAGACACCCTCAACATCAACCCTACGCTCGGCTAGTAACTAAATGAATGCATTCTTTCACACTAAAAACCATCAGGGCGAGCTGAATTTGCCTGACCAATAGCGCCGGGCAATCGCACCCTCGCCAACAAATCCTTTTCAAACCCTTCCACGTTCTTTCCGCCCCATTATGAACCGTTCCGTCCCGCAAGGCTGATTATGCAGAACGCAACCGAGTCGGCATTGACTGCGGCTGAACCCCTGCCCCCTGTAAAAGCTTACAGAATTGCCAAAAAGCTTGGCAATGCCCATTGTCCCAATTCGTATAAAGCTGTTCCCAGGGTCGTTTTCGCCCCACTGATAACTTCATGTCTGTATCGGACCACGGCTTTCTTGTGGCAGCTGACGTAACTTTTGTGCCTATCGCCGTGCAAAAGTGTAAGTTGCAGAGCCATTGTAAAGGGGGGGATTGGAAAGAACAATGAAGCTCTGCGCGTACTGCGAATCGCATATCCTCGACAGTCAGCAGTCTTGGGGTACACATCACGAATCCTACGCTTTACTAAAGCATGCCTCTAACAACAGATGTTTGTTCTGCTATACACTGCAGGAAGATATAGCGACTTTCGCACCGGGATTAAAAGAGCTAGGGGGAGAAAATTTTTGGCCTGTGTATCGATGGAGTATTCGAAGTCTGGCGAAGATAAGGGAGAGTTTAGAGACTGTGGTTGTTAGGTTTAGACCGATTCCGCGACCTGCAAATGGCGACGAGAATTTGGAATTGAGGACAAAAGCAGAGGATGCAGAGGAACTGCCTACAAGGACGTTCTTTTTCTTTCCTGAAGAGGGTGAGTTTTTAAAGATTTGGTTTTGTTTCATCTTCATCGATATATGAAATCGTTCCGTTCCGGAATGCACCGTTCCACAACATCAGTACTACACTTCAGGTGGATTTATAGATTTTATTCATTTCCCAACCTTATACGCGAGTGAGACTGTGCTAAACTCCATATCCAGCCCTCAAGCCTCTTCCCACCATCGAAGAACTTGGTTCATCTACCGACCCAGCAATCTCAGGTGGACACCATATTGCACGGTGGATCGAGATATGCAACACAACGCACCCGGGGTGCCACAAAAGTCGCAAAGGCCAATCCTCCTCGGAGCGTTTCATTCCGACGCGTCTTCTTGACATTAGCGGGCCGCCCGAAAGTCCAATCCGTGTGGTCGAAACCAAATTAACACCCATTAACGGCCCGTATGTCTCGCTCTCGCATTGCTGGGGCGTGAAAGAATTCATCACACTGCGTACGGGAACCCTTGATCGCTTCAAGACCGAAGGCGTGCCTTGGGATCTCTTTCCTAAGAACTTCCAGGAGGCGATCGAAGTGGCTAGGTTTTTGAATGTGGGACACATCTGGATTGATTCGCTATGCATTATTCAAGGCCCAGATGGAGACTTTAAGGATGAAGCGAATAAAATGCACCAGGTGTATCGGAACAGTTATTGTAACATTGCGATTGTTGACTCTATGGACAGCACGGGGGGCGTGTTCCGGAGGCGAGAGCCTAAAGATGTCGTGCCCGTGAGGTATCAGTCGGAAACGCCTTCAGCCATGTTCGGAAGCAAGGCATGGAGAGTCGTGTCAGAGCACCTGTGGGAAAGCGAGTTGTTGCAGACGTTCCTGTATCGTCGGGGTTGGGTGTTCCAGGGTAGGTCTCGGAGCTCCGGGTTCTGTGACGATGTTGCTGACGGCAATCCTAGAACGCATGCTGGCGCCGCGTATTTTGCATTTCGCTCATCGGCAGATCTTCTGGGATTGTCCTGCGATGAGTGCCTGCGAATCCCTTCCTGGGGGTTTGCCACAGCCGATGGATGGAGCGGCAGGCACGGACCGACATTGGCGCGGACGCCTCCAAGAATCCGGACAAACCCATGAACCGTTAACCGGTGCGAACGATGACTCTCTCGAGTTCTTCTGGAAAACCGCAGTCCGTAAATACACCAACTGTGCGCTAACTAAAGGCGCCGATAAAAAGATTGCTATGTGGGGGATTGCGAAGCTTGTGCGAGATGAGATGGGCGTAGCGTATGGAAATGGCTTGTGGCAGCAGAATTTGGAGGACCAACTTACATGGAGGGTTGCAAAAACCACACTCGAATTGCGTCCAAGCGAATCAACGGCATGGAATCTCGAGAGGAAAATACCTTCATGGTCGTGGGCTTCGATGGATGGTGAAATAGTGGTACCCGACTTTCTGCTCACTGACGTGCCTCACTTTACGGTACGGGACCATTATCGCCGTCCATTGGCATTTGATCTAAAGGGCGTCAAACGATGTGCACCTCCTCCGGAAAGCGAGAGAGAATCGCCAGCATATACTAGGGGGATGAGTGATACTAATGTCCAGCTTCAGAGACGACGCGAGGAGCTGGAGAGAGAGCGAGAAAACGAAGTAGACCAGCAAGGACAGCAGAGGACTAGAAGTCCGGAGAAGATAGACGTGGATTCAGACGCAGAACCAGAATTCTACAACGAATCAATTCAAATCCAGGGACATGTGGGTCGTGGCCAACTAGTATGGGACGACATGAAGAAGAAGTGGTTGCTTAAGCTGGATGGACTTTCTGGAGTAGAAATCGAAGCCTTTCCTGATACAAAGCCTAAGCTAAAAAATCCAGTGGATATGGAGCCATATTTCGTCGTTTTGTCAGCCAAAAAGGTCAACAATCCCAGCAATACACCTCAAAGGGACAAATCAGGGGAGCTTCATGATATCCAAGAAGGGGATGAATATGATAGTGACAACGAGCCCGAAGGAGCGATCGACGAAGCCGATATCCTCATCTCTGGCGTTGGGATCCTCCTGAAGGATGTTGGGAATTATCACTTTCATAGGACTGGCGCACTACGTTTTCGCGAAGTCGATCCTAATGCTTGGAGGAGGTTGCAGGAAACGCATAGAAGTGAGGGGCTGCCACCCGATAAATACCATGCTCTGTATGGCTTGAAGTTCTGGTTGGATTGAAAACTTGAGGGAAGGTCAGCGCTAAAGGTATTTGAGGTTACATATGAAGCTTAGTTCCAGGCTCGGGTGCCATTCCGGAACATCAAACGTGGCGCTCGCACCTCCTGTGGGGATTCCATTGCAGTCATGGTCCTGGAAATCTTGAAGGGTGTGATCTTGGGTGGCTCTTCAGAGACAGTTGTCAGCCCAAAGTGAATCTCACGACTTGGGCCCTTTTTGGGCGCCTCGTCAATAGTCAACTGTGTATTTGCGCGGTGTAGACCCTCGTGGTATCTCTCTACCACATAGTATACGAAAGTTGGATGACAGAGGTAGATCTTGGCAGGATCGTCTCGAAGTTTCGAGAATAGGAAGCCTCTGGCCGCTTGCAGGATATCCTCACCGCTTCGAATCCGCGCTGATACTGATTCTCCTAGCCATCTTTGCAGCTCTGGAACAGGTACGCCATTAGATGTGCGGCCCGCGCCAGCGATCGACTTTAACGCTAGGTCGCGCTGCTCTTCCGGCTGTGCTTCGATTTGCTTAAGACCGGCATCGAAGATTGCAATAATGTTTGCGGGCAATTGATCACGTCGTTGTTCAACTCTTTCAAGTGATTCCGCTTCATGAACAAGATCCAGTCGTGCTTTAGCAAAGCCAATGTTTCCGTAGACATTACGGACAATTTCTTGGACGAGGGCCAGTGCCTTATTGGGTGTCTGGTCTGAGAGTATCGATACACCTAGGGTTGATAGTGGAGGTTTCTGGTGCACTGAGCTTTTCAACCCGAGATCTCCATGCTCTCGCTCAAGATCCCAGGCAACAAATTTCTTCATCTGGGAGTCCGGTATACCGATAGGGACATTGACATGATCATACTGTTCGTGTAGCTCGTCGTTGGTGCCACTGAGAAAGCCATTAACGAGAAATTCTTAGCGTCGAAGTAGAACTTACCATTCTCCACAGATTCTCCCTTCCTCAAAACACGGGAAGCACATGACATTCTCGCAGCAGCGACACGTTAGGAACAAGTCTAGGGCTTCTCTGGCGTCGAGGTCCACCTCTTCGTCGTCCGATGCGCCATTGTGATTTTGGTGATCACACTTTGCCTCTAGTTGCTCATATACTGCGAGACGTGAGGTGAGCAGAATACTTAGTCCGCTTTGCTGGAGATCATGGAGTTCCATCTCCAGTAGAAAGCGCAAGGTAGGGCTGCATCGATCAATACCATCAAGTACCAAGTAAATAGGTGTTGATTGCATCATGGTTGAAACACGCGAATAGACAGATTTCCTAATAAGATGGATCCGGTACCTAGCTCTACCGCCGCTCGGATCCATATACCGCGCGAAGGCGTACTCGGAATGAAAAGCGCTCGAATCATCCTGGGTACACGCTTCATACGCTCCAAGCTCACGGTAGAGGATTTCGAGAAAGTCTTCTAGAAAAGCCGTCTCATGCTCATAAACGTCTTCCTGCACAAAAAATGAGATGACGGGAATGCCCTCACTGTGGACCTTCCCTTTGAGGTGGTGTACAACTAGTGCTGCCAGAGTCGTCTGCTCGCCATATATTGATTACTCACCGTAGTTTTTCTCTAGGGGGTGACATGCTTACCTTTCCCGAGCCCGGTCCACCAATGCAGTGGAGTTGCCAATTCACGCCTTTGCCTTGCCAGCGGTCGAATACCGGATGTGTGAAGAACCAATCAAAAATATCGACGAAGATGTCTGTAGAAAGACTGCGAGACACTCCTAAACTTGGATGCCTTGAAATCGGCAAGGGGTTTTCCATGTGTGAGAGATCTGCTTCCTTTGCAATGCAAGAATATTTTTTTCACACTTAACACGGTGTTCCGACCGCGATGGAAAATTCTTGAAACTTGGAGGACGTCACGATAGAGGAATTGAGAGATAGGACCTGTCAGCGGACCGGATTCCATGGCGGCTTTGCATCGCCCTCCTGTGTGAATTGGTGTTCCTCAAGCCGGGATTAATCTGATCAAGTGGCTTGGCAAAACGGGGCTGAACCCCCAAGGGGAAAATTTTAGGGGCTGTATGGGGGCTATTTTGAGATCCTCGCCCCCAAAATCCAGCTAGTAACATCGTCACTGTGGCTAGCTTTGATGATGAAGGATCAGACGCGGGTCGTTCAGAAATTGGGACGTCGTGCATGCCTGGGAATAAAATGGAGGAGCCTCGCCATTATCGATTTCGCTGTCTTCGACGGAACGTCGTTCATTCATTCTTTTAGTGTGAAATGTTGTTCTTTCAGATTGTTTCAGTTTTTGGTCTGGTGGGCTGCTGTCTCTCGCGCTCCCTGCCGAAACCGATCTCTCCACGACAAAATCCCTCGACGACTGCAGCCGCTCCTGCTGCCAACCCGACGATATGCGGCGACATCGTGGATGCAGTGAACGATCCTGAAGGTATGCCCCAGCTTCCTAGCAGAGCCGACGCGTGGACGTGGCGTGATGGAAGTTCATGAGTACCGGAAGAGTCCAAATTAGCTAGACCATCCATTACTCATTAAAAGCTTCGTTCCATCACTAACCCAAAATAGGGTTCAACATCTTCTGGGCAAGTGATGCTTATGCCTGTCTCACCAGCGTTCCCTTCAACCCAGCTGTTGCTTCACGATTCGTCAAGTACTGGAATGAAACTATCCAGTTCCAAAGCACACTCGCCTATCTCAAGAACCCGCCCACGGGGTATCAGCAACCAGCCTTCGATGTCCAGGCAGGCCTGGCAGTAATCCAACAACACATCAATGAGGGTTTCTACACTAACCAGTATGCCTTTGAGGCTGACTTTCAGCTCCTCACATATGCCATGCACGATGCCCATGTGCAACTTACGGCTGGTGCCCTCTCGGCGTTCTCATTCGCAAGTCCGTACGAAATCGCGTCTGTGTCTATCGACGGAAAGGAGCCACCGAAGGTCTACATGACCGGTATGTACTCTACGGAGTCATCCTTCGACTCAACTAATCAAGCTTTAGATGACATCATTAATAGCCCAAAACAAGGCTGGACACCATCTCCTCTGAAGACTATTAACGGCGTGGAAGTTGTTGAATTCCTCACTCAGTATGCGGCGCTCAACTCATGGGGTAATGTTGAACCCCATGCCGACTGGAACGCTCTCATGTCTCATCCGGCCCTGGATATCCAGGGAGGTTTAAATATGTTCGCTGGGTCCGGCACCTTCTATCCCGGCGAGAACCTAACTTTCGTTTTCGAGAACACCACTAAGATCGAGACCATTTGGATTGCTATCTACAATGAGCTGGCTAATTACACTGGCCCCTTGACTACTGGAGGAGATTTCTACAATTACTTCGTCCTTGGCGAGCTACCTGCGTCGTTCAACTCAAGCACCATCGTTGAACCCGAGATCCCAGATGCCCCGCCAGCTCCTACTTCATGGTTTATCGATAGCCTTGAAGCTTATCCTTCGAATCCTGACATTGCGCAAAGCGATCTTGGCGTCCTTGGAACTGGATTGGTTACTGGTTACTTTTATAACGATATATCCACCGGCATCCTGAGTCTTCCGAGCTTTGACATCGTTCCAGATTCGATTGGAAACTATTCTGACGCGGTCAGCTCGTTTATTGGAAATGCGTCTCAGGCAAATCTCACCAGAGTCATTATCGACCTTCAGCAAAACAAAGGGGGGGCCACCCTCCTTGCGTACACTATATTCAAGAGCTTCTTCCCAGACCAAATTCCGTTTGCCGGTAGCCGAAGGCGCAGCTTCGATATGGCCAACCTTATCGGCTCGTCTACCTCAAATTTCTGGGATTCTCTCGACGAATCCAATGATAATGAGCTTACCTTCAAACAAGAGATCGCCGCCAACGAATGGGTCATTACGGATCGACTCAATGCTGCTACGGGGAAGAACTTCACTGGTTGGAAGGAATACCAGGGACCTGTAGATGACAATGGAGACTCCTTCACGTTGACAGAGCAGTATGATCTAGCCAACGACATCTTCGATTCAGCTGCCTTTGATGAATGGATCCCACTTGACTATCTTGGTGATCAGTCGCGATTTTCTAAGGCCAATCGCCCATGGCAGCCGGAACAGATTGTCATTCTCACTGACGGCCTCTGTTCTTCCGCTTGCTCCCTCTTAGTCGAAATGATGACACGAGTCGGAGTACGCACGATCGTCGCAGGTGGCCGCCCAACTACCGGCCCAATGCAAGCAGTCGGAGGGAACCGCGGGGCAAGACTTTACTCCGCTAACGCCATCGATGCCGACATCAGCTTCTCCAGAAGTATTGATGAGTGGGTCGACGACAACGTGAATGGCTCCCTACCCGACGTGCGCGAGACGGGAATGTTTATCAAATTTGCTGGGATCAATCTCCGCGACCAAGTTCGGAAGGATGATAAGACCCCCTTGCAGTTCAAGTATGAGGCCGCCGATTGCCGGATATATTACACCCTTTCGAATTTATATAACGCGACAAGGCTGTGGCATGATACTGCTACTGCGGCTTTCATCGACCCTTCACTCTGCGTCCAGGATTCCACAGGCTACTCCACCACTAACAACACGAATCCGAAAGCGCCTCCCAAGCCGTCGGTTCAGAGCCCTCCGATTCTCACTCAACCCGCGATTCAGCAAATTGAGTTTGAATCTAACCCAACTGGAGGCCTCCAGGACGGCGCTGGCAAGCCCAAAGGCGACAATACTTTCGTGCTCTGCCCTAGTGGAGTATGCGAGGGTACAGCGAGGTGCAAGACAATCAACGTCAAGTGCTCTAAAACACTCACTATCAAAAAACCTGTGTGTCTTCCCACTTGTGATAATCGTCTGGGCAGCACGGGCTGTAACGGTATTTGCGATATCAACCAAAAACACGAGAGCAAGTCTGGGCTTGGGAAGACTGCGTCATATGGAGGGAATTTGTTTTCAGGGTTGTGTGTCCCGGAGATTGGGACAAGAAGCCTAGGTTGTCCAGCAAACCCGAAGACAGGGAAATAGAGGAGGTAGTGGGTGGTTAAGATTTGTCTTATTTTATTCATTTGAGGAAGCATTTAGTGGCTGCAAGATACCTATCATTGTTTAATAGAAATCTATAATTATGTAGAAAAGGCTTTCCACAGCCAATAGACAGAATAGAATCGTAATGCTAAAGCCACAATTCAATGTTGAGACGTCTAATATCTAACCGATGTGTCCCACTTAGCCTCTTTGAGACTAGTACCGCAGTTCTTGTGACTTCGCGTTTTGCGCTTGGACGCGTCTCGGCTAGGCATCATCGAGGGGTGAACTTCCATCCTGTCTCTCACGACAATGGCTCTGTCTCCACGCAGCCCCTCCAAACACAACTCAATGCTGGGCAAACTGATCAAACACCCCAAATCTACAAATTTCGACGGTAACAAAGAGCGTCCCCCCAAACGTCTCCGTCTCAATGACGATGCGCCCGAAGCGGATACAACACCCCCATCTCCCAAATTTGGGAATCGTGTGGTACCAGACTCCGAGGATGAGGATGGGGATGAAATTGAGCAGTTGCCTCCTACGATGAAGACGGGCCTGGAGAGTGCCTTGCCTCCCATCAAGACGGACGCAGAGGCAATTGAAGAATATGAGGCGTTCAAGGCGTCGCAGAACGAAGACACCGAGTCCGCTGAAGGGCGGTTAAAGGACCGTAAATGGATCAGAGGCAAGAGTTCAATATATGTGGACGCGTTCAATTTGGCATTGGATACGGTGCTAGACGAGGAGAGCCATTTGTTTGACGAGGCCGAGATGGAGGTTTTCGGGCAGTGGAGGGGACTGAGCTATGAAGCTCAATATCTGTATGTTGTGCAACGCAGCATGATGAAGGAACCATTAGATCTGAGACCAACTCGATTATAGCTACGTCCGCCTTTTCCTCCGCAAGACCGCTGCCTGGCATCGTATTAAGAACCTTGGCTATCATAGCGATATATCGGACCTCGAATCTGCGATTGAGATACTACAACGTATCAGAAATCTTCCTATATCCTCGGCGGAAGAGGGATCACATCCTGGCGAGCTGAAACCCCCAGCTGGGACAACATTGGGCTCTGCTTTCACATTCGCGGACAAATCCGAAGTCGAGATAAATACACTCGAGGAAGCGTCGTCCCTGTTGAAGTTAGATGAACTAAAAGCTCTTGCAAAAGACGCAAAAGTGCAAGGAAAGAACAAGAAGGAGCTACTCAAATCTCTTCGACAGACAAGTCAGAAGCAGGTCGGACTCGGCTACGTTGGCCTAAAGAGATCAGGTACAGAATCCTCCAGGCGCTCATCTGCCTCCGGCCTAGACTCCGATACTCCCGATCCCGAGCCCAGCGGAGTCAGCATCTCAGATTTCAACCGCGACGCCCACTTCACACACAAGATCATGTCCGAAACCGGGCCCTGCATTCGCCTCTCTTGCGCACCACTCAAACTCTTCGAGAGAGTCCACCTCGTCTTCTACCGCTCCACTGAGTGGACTGAGAAATCTCTTACAACCATCATCCTTGCTAAAATCTCCCGCCGCAATTTCCCCGAATTCATAGTCTCCCGTTCCGCAAATATATTCTCATCTCGCTCCTCTCTACTCGAGTTTGAAGCTTCGATACGAGTCCAATTCCGCATTGACTATATCCTCGAATTCAATGGAAGACCCACCGAAGCAGGGCTTCAAGAAATCCTTGACATCTTCCAAGAAGTGTATCCACGCTGGCACATCCTCCTTCAAGAAGAACAGCGGAAGGAAGACAGCATTTATCAAAGTGGCGAAGGAGCTTATCTACGCCGGCTGTCACCAGCATGGGTCTACACGCGTATCATTCACAAAGCTACCTCTGTTCTCGCGAAACAGAAGGACTACAAGCGCGAATACGAGCTCTTGTCTGAACTCCTCGCACAGCGGCTCTTCCATCACTCGCGACGCGGGGCTTGGTATCAGCGAAAAGCGTTGCTGGAAGAACATTATATTGCGTCTCTTACTCCAAACGAGAATAGAGACAACGAGGCGCAAAAAAGGCACTGGAAGAGGGTTGCTCTGCGGACCTGTGAAGACGGTCTCCAGGACAATCTCGTGCACATCATTCATCATTACGATCTCCAGAAACGAGTCAAGAAGCTCGAAAAAGCACTCAAAATCGCAAAACGCGCGCAGCATGATTTCACACATGTGAGACTCGCTGCTCCAGTCGAGGTAACAGTTGAAGGGATACGTATAGAAAGAGAGAGTATCCTCTCCCGACGTAATAGCTCACCACACCCTAGCTTTGGAAAAAAAGGAGCGAAGACAATTTGGATCGATGCGAGAGAAGGCGGAGAGTGCTCAGTTGAGGAAATGTGTCTAAGTCATTATAGGGATTTGGGGTGGAAGGGTTATCATAGTGAGGGGGGCATCGTCCGCACTTTATTTGCCTATCTCTTCTTCGATGTGCTCTTCACCTACGTCCCCAATGTCTTCCAAACGCCCTTCCAGACTTGCCCTTTAGATCTCCATACAGACGCTTTCTTCCCTTCCCGAATCTCGGAGATCAACCATCAGTTAATTGCAATTTCGAACGGCGAGGCGGCAGCCCTGATCCAGCGAATCTGGGATGAGCATCATGAGCGCCGGACTTGTGTCGTCGGATTAGACTGGACCTTCGAGCTGGTAGACCTCCTGGAGATAGCGAGATTTTTTGACGGAGAAGCGCTTGCGACCGTGTGTAAGGTCATGGCGCAGGAGTACGGGCAAAGAGGTGGTGGTGTCCCTGATCTTTTCCTCTGGCATGAAGAGAAGGGCGAGGTCATGTTTGCAGAAGTCAAGAGTGAGAATGATCGGTTGAGCGATACGCAGAGGCTCTGGATTCATGTTTTGAGCGGAGCAGGTGTAAGGATCGAATTGTGTCATGCTGTCGCTAAGGAGGTTAGGGTTATGTGATATTGCTTAGATGTCTATCACGATGAGGATATCTATTCGCTTACAACAGCCCCATCATAACATCTCTCCCCAACCTCTTCCCCAACATCAACACACGACACAACCAAAGTCTCCGAGCCCTCGCAACCGCGCCAGCGAATGACGTCGTCCTTGAATGCGGGGTAACAAATACCCGACGCCCGATCTACACCGAACATCGGCCCTCCTGCCCTAAAGCATGCCCTCCACCACTCCCGTTCTTCAGAACAACACGCAGTACGAAATAACAGGTTAGTTCAGAATGTAAGCTCATGCCGAGTCATCCGAGCTCCAAAGAATGACTCAGGAAATTCGTAGGTGTCTGTTGTTTAATATAACGTGTACTTTTTGGCCTTCTTTGTTCCCAATCTTGTCTTTATCAGTCCTGCATCCCGTCTTCAATTATATCCTAGTCACGTGAACCGTATAAAGGACCCAGCTCCATCGGGTCTCGAAGTCTCAGGCACCCAAAATGCCGCCCCCCATGCTCTCGTCCCGAATCTCCAACTTCTTGGGAGTCCCCTCTTTGCACCAAACAGGCCGCGATGCCTATCTAATCATCACACTCCGCTGCCTCCGTATGTTCAGCGCAGGCATCCCCTCCCTCATTCTCGCTCTATTCTTCTCCACCCTCTCCTTCTCCGACACTCTCATCGGGGCCTTTATGACGCTCACCCTCCTCGGTGACGTTCTGCTCTCCCTCCTCCTAACCCTGATCGCAGACTCCCTCGGCCGCCGCCGCATCCTATTCTTTGGCTCTGCTATGATGGTCTTTTCCGGCACGGTCTTCGCGCTGTCCGAGAATTTCTGGATCTTGTTGGCGGCGGCCGTGGTGGGCGTTATTAGCGTGACGGGTGCGGATTGTGGGCCGTTCCGCGCAGTGGAAGAGAGCGTGCTTAGTGGGTTGACAGGTGAGAAGACTAGGAGTGATGTCTTGACTTGGTATGTTATGGCGACTAATATGGCGAATGCGGTGGGTACAGAGGTTGCAGGGAGGGTGGTGCATGTGTTGGAGAAGAATTGGGGGAGTGAGGAGAAAGGGATGAGAAGGGTGTATCATGTGCTGTTTTGGGGATATGCGGGGTTTGGGCTGTTGGGGTGTGTGTGCTGCTTGGGTATGAGTTCGAGATGTGAGATCCAGCAGGAGAAACGGGAGATGAAAAAACGATGGAGAGGCGATACAGGTGGAATTGGAAATGGGGAAGAAGAAGAAGTTCTTCTCGATGCAATATCTCCCTCTTCGACCGACTTTCACGTCGACCCTAGAACTCGAGCATGCTCAGAGCCTGAAACCCTTCGCTTCCAACCCGTCCCGCAGAAAAAATCCCGCTTCGCGCAAATATCCCCCCAAACCCGCTCCGTCATGTACAAACTCTGGTTCCTCCTCGCTATCGACTCCCTCGCTGACGGGATGGTCCCGTACTCTCTCATGAACTACTACGTCGACCTAAAATTCCACCTCCCGAAGGCTACACTAGGAGACATCACATCAGCGTCCCAGTTCCTCTGCGCTGTATCCAGCATCTTCGCAGGTCCATTGTCCCGCCACATCGGATTGATCAATACAATGGTGTTCACCCACCTCCCTTCATCCATTGCGTCGGCGTTTATCCCACTACCACAAAGCGTGGGATGGACAGTTGCACTTCTGCTATTCCGCGCTGCGCTGAACTCAATGGACCAAGCGCCCAGGACGTCGTTTATTGCTGCGGTTGTGAAACCCGAGGAACGGACGGGGGTGATGGGGATTACGAGTATGTTGCGGACGCTGGCCATGAGTGTGGGGCCGACGGTGACGGGGATACTGGCTGGGAATGGTAGATTCTGGATTGCCTTTTTGGTGGCCGGGATTTGTAGGGTGGTGTATGATTTGGGGCTATTTACGATGTTTGTGAATGTGAAGTTGCATCAGCATGAGGGGAAGGGGGAAGATGAAGGGGAAGATGATGATGGGGGTTTGGAGAATTTATTGAGGGATATTGAGGCGGAAAGTGATGAGGAGAGTGAGGTTGGGCTACGGAAGGATGTGGAGGAAGGGGTCGATAAGACCGTTCAGACGTAAAGGTACGAAAATACATTTGTTCTTGGTTAGGGGTCTGAGTACTTTCTTGATAAGCTAGATCGAATGAATACCTCCTCAAAGCCCCCCGCCCTAGGACAATGCTAGTCGTAGAAGAAGATGCCATAAACCAAGATGAAGCTTATCATCGACCACTGTCCGCGGGCTAACGATTTGTCTCAGGCTGACCGCATCGAATCCAGCAGTTTCCACTATCTTTATTTGTGTTTGAAGCGGAATCGCTGTTTAGCCGAGAGGTCGCGGCAGTTAGGCCGCCCTTATAACCCTTTTGAATGTCCTCCCCTGGCTCACTCTTCCCCATGCACACTATCTGTCTTCCTTATTGACAGCCTTACTGTTATCCTACCCACCATCACTATCCACCAGCCATCTGCTCCCCCTACACCCCCCCAGCCTCAACAAAACCAGCACCTTCACCCCCTTACATACCTCTCTTCCGCTCCTCCATCCTCTCTTTTGCGCACAAATCTTCCAGAATCTTAACCTTCCACCACAGCAGCCTCTCCACCTCAAATGTCCCTAACTCTTGCAACGAATACCTCTCCCGCTCATTCTCAGTCTTCTAGAAATCCTTTTCAGCCGTCCCACAATACCGCCCTTTACATAAAACTCTTGGTAATTGAAAACCTCGCGTGCAATCAATTCCCCTCTCGACGTACGTATCGATTCTGCCCTTATATTGGACATCTAAATTTGAAGGCAAGTTTACGATACTAACGATATCTCCTAGTATGGAGGGAGGGCATTGAGGATGCGATTGGGAGTAGGGTAGATGTTAAGGGCGATATGGTGTTGGAAGTGATAGGGACTAGATGAAGGTTCTACGTTGTTCGTCTACTCTCGCCCACAGACACTGAATACTTGAACAACCATTGAAGTACTAAACGGTTCATTGCCCATCAAACTATACAATTATACAAAAGCCAAACCGCTTTGCCAATCCCCACATGAACGCCGAAGCGATCAAACCCAAAGCAAAAACCCAACAGAGAAATGCTGAACAGAGAAGCCGTCAAACGACAGGATCTAAAAGTAGATAGGAACAAGAAATTTTAGTTCGCCCTGCTTCCCGTCTACCTTGGCAGAAGTCCAACGAACCTCACCTTAAGACCCCCCGATCCGAGTGTGAGGACAATATTCTTCTGCCAGGGGCGGGTATGGTATCATTACATATATCATCCAGCGTGTCCTACTCCGCTGTTGCGCACCAAATTTGAAGTGGCGTTTTACTTTCCGCCCAAGAGACCACCGACAAGAGGTAAGGACTTGGCACCTCCACCCTTCTCCTTCTTCTTTCCACCACCAAGCATCTCTGAAATGCTTCCGAGACCCAGGCCACCAAGGAGTTTGTTGATGCCAAGGCCGCCTAGAAGGCCATTGACCAGACCGCCTAGACCTAGACCATTAAGTAGTCTGCCGACGAGGTTGAGCACACCAGTCAGAAGCAAGCCCACAGCAGCGATAATCTGGAACAGGGGCTCAGTAAGCAGCGCCCAAAGAGGATTCAGCTTCTTCTTCGCATGCGGCATATCCGCAATCTTCTTTTTGGCGTTGTCGATGGTTGTGACAACGGTGGTTGTGAGTTCCTTGAGCAAGTCGGCGAGACGGTATTCTTCGGGTGTGGCTTCTCGAGTCTCGGAACGGCCCTTTGCCTGGGCAGCTATGCGGCCATCAGGATCGAGGCCGCGGAGCGAGCCGTTGCACTCTTGAAGGATGCGAGCGCCTTCTTCAATAAGTGGCTTGACGTTGTTGACCAGTTCTTCTTCGTCGAGTTCGTCGCGAGGTGTACGATCTGCGGCTTCGATGTACTGTATTAAGTATTAGCATGACATATAAATGCAGGGAGAAGTGGCAGCGCGTACCTCGGTAATCTGTTTGCAGACGGGCTGGATGCGCTCAAGCGTCTGCTGGCAAATATTCGCCATCTTGTCCGCGAGCTCAGCATCCTCGCGTCTCTTACGCTCCTCCTCAGTTTCATCCTCAGGCTCCTCTTCCTGGATATTTTCCAAGAGAGTAACCTCACCAACTTTGTTGCCGTCGTTGTCAACAACATAGCCGTTGTCGTCGATCTCAAGACCAGCACAATGGCCAAGGTCGCCAGCAGTTAGACGACCGATAAGATCGCCATTCTCGTCACGAACCTCACCGTCTTTGTTGACGTGCATGCCAGCCATGGGGTTGATGCGACGTTCCTTCTCTTCTGGCTCCCAACGCTCAGCTTTGCCGATGACATTGCCGTTCTTGTCATTTATATCTCCATCTTCATCGACCTTGTGGCCAACAAGCCTCTTGACATCACCCTCAATGACACGACCAATGATGTCACCATCTTCGGTCTGAACAGTACCATCCTTAGCCACCTTGTTGTTATCGAACCCAGCAAAGGGCCCTTCAGGTCCAGACGAAGCACCCTTAACAAGTTCAGCGCGGCCAATGACATTTCCTTCATTGTCCCAAATCTGTCCTTTCCCGTCAACTTTTTTGCCGATCATGGTAGCTGGGTCGCCCTCGGAAACGCGACCAAGGATGGTACCATTGGCATCGACAACATTACCAGCCTTGTTGACAGTGCAGCCAGCAAGAGCGCTGAGGTCAATTTCCTCGGGCTCCTCTTCTTGCCAGGGCTCGGCGTGACCCTTGACATTGCCGTATTTGTCGATAATGTCGCCATCCTCGTCAACAGAGTGGCCGACGAGCTTCTTGTGGTCGCCTTCGGTGATGATACCAACAGTATTGCCATCAACATCTTCGACAAAGCCATCCTTGACAACACGCAAGCCCTCGTAGCCTGCAAACGGACCTTCCTGCTTGGTAACACGCTCATTTTCGGGGATAAGCCCGCAGCGGCCAACTACTTTGCCAGTGTCGTTGTGGATCAGACCCTCGCCATCAGACTTACGACCAGCTAGGTCCTTGAGGTTGCCTTCAACCAGGCGACCGACGGGAATTCCATTAGCGTCAACAAGGTACCCTTGCTTGTTGAGGGTGAGTCCCTCGAGTATCGATAAGTCATCGGGAATCTCTTCCTCTTCCTCAAGCGGCTCACCATGGCCCTTGACGTTACCATACTTGTCGAGAATATCACCATCCTCATCAACAGCCATACCAACGAGGCGCTTAGGATTTCCTTCGACAATAACGCCAACAACGTTGTCGTCCTCATCAGCAATCTTGCCATCGGGAATGACGCGGAGACCTACGAGACCAGCGAAAGGACCCTCAGGCTTGACTTCGCGCTCCTCAAGAGGAATAAGCTCGACACGGCCGACGACCTTTCCTGAGTCGTTCCAGATCTGGCCGTTGTCGTCAAGCTTTTTGCCTGCAAGTTCCTTCGAATTACCCTCAATGAGTCGTGCGACGGGAACACCATCATCCCCGATGACGTTGCCCTGCTTGTTGACAGTCTTGCCAGCAAGGCTCGAGAGGTCCACAGGGTCTTCCTCAGGCGGCGCTTCCTCCTCGGGCTCTTCCCAGCGCTCTGCATGGCCGACCACGGAGCCCTTCTTGTCGATGATATCCCCGTCTTCGTCAACAGCACGGCCAACGAGTTTCTTCGCGTCTCCTTCGACGACTTGGCCGACACGATTGCCATTCTCATCCTCAACAAATCCATCTTTGACGACAATAAGGCCTTCGAGACCGGCGAATGGAGCTTCTTCATCCGGTTCTTCGATAGCAACCGTCTTCGCACGTCCGATGATGTGGCCCTTGTTGTCCCAGAATTGGCCTTCGGCATCGCAAGTAATGCCGGATTTAGAGAGCTTCTTGGCATCGCCCTGGACAAGCTCACCGACGATAGTACCGTTCGAATCGACGAGCTTTCCGGCTTTGTTGACGCTGAGGCCCTCAAGGATAGAGAGGGGCGGAAGTTGGTCACCTACTTCCTCAGTAGCTTCGGCAGCCTCGGCAGCTTCTTCAGCGACTTCGCCAGACTCTTCGGCTGCTTCGGCTGCTTTTTCGGCTTCCTCGGCGGTCTGCTCGATCATCTGTGGTAAAGTACGGACCTTGCCGATGACCTTTCCATCCTTGTCAAGAACCTCACCCTTCGCGTTAATTTTCTTTCCGGCACAATCCCTGAGCTCTCCTTCGGTGAGCTCGCCAATTGGTTCACCATCTTCATTTAAGACCTGGCCTTTCTTGTTGACCTTTAAGCCCTCGAGGATGTCAAGGTCAGGGATGACTTCCTTAACCTCGGGTTCTTGAGCGTCGCTAAGCCTCTCCTTAAGTGCCTTCATGGCCTCGAAAGCAGCCTCGCCGGATACAACATCCAACTTTCCGATAACATTGCCGTCCTTGTCGGTGACTTCACCTTTGTCGTTCACAATCTTTCCAGCGCAGACTTTGATATCACCCTCTTTGAGTTCTCCAATCTCTTCACCTTCTTCATCGAGCACTTTGCCCTTCTTATTGACCTTCAGACCCTCCAGAATGCGTACATCGAGTGCTCCGGCAGCAGCCTCTTTGAGTTTGTCGGCGGCGCCCTCAGCAAGTTCGACCTTGCCAAGCACATTACCATCAGCATCGACAACCTCGCCTTGATCGTTGACGGTGAGGCCTTTGACGTCGTCAATGTTACCCTCAGCAAGCTGGCCGATAACATCGCCTTCGTCGTTGACGATTTCACCCTCGGAGTTGACTTGCATGCCTTCAAGAGCCTCGACGCCGGGAAGTTCGGCCTCAACAGCTTCAGCTGCCTCTTCGACGCCACCAACAGCTCCATCGGCACCTTCTTCAACTCCGCCAGAAGCTTCACCAGCCTGGTCAGCAACACCATCAACAAGGTCGTCCTCGGCCTCCTCCTCTTCTTGATCGACTAGTTCGGCGGCGTCGGGATGGAGCTCAGCGCGAGCAATAACGTTGCCATCTTCGTCGAGGATTTCGCCATTCTCATTAAACTCCATACCCTCAATCTTTGAGGGATCACCCTCGACTAGACGGCCGACAAAGTCGCCGTCTTCGTTTAGGATTTGGCCCGTCTTGTCAGCAGTAAGACCCTTCAAGATGCTGATATCGGGCATCTTGGCGCCATCGGTGGCATCTTGAGCCTTGGAAAGTTGCTCTTTCGCGGTTTCAGGGAGGAGTTCGCAGCGACCGACAAGATCGCCATCGTCATCAAGAATCTCGCCATCGTCGCCAATCGTGTAACCAGCGAGATCTTCTGCATCACCCTCGACGAGTCGACCAATTGCGTTTCCGTCCTTATCGTGGACTACACCCTCCTCATCTACCTCAAGGCCTTTGAGAACTGATAGGTCGGGTGTTGGAAGTTCACCAGTAGCCTCCTCGGCAGTGTCCTTGACACCATTGACGGCATCCTCAGCGCCCTCAGTAGCTTCACCTGCAGTATCTTCTGCGCCCTCTGCAGCCTCGCCTGCAGTATCCTTCGCGGCATCAACTGGATCTTGAGTACCTTTGTCAGCCAACCCCTGAGCTCGCCCTGCGAGACCACCTGCGCCACTCACAGCGCCAGATGCTTGTTCCTCGCCTTCCTCTGCTGCTTCGCCTGCGGCGTCTGTGACATCGTCCTCGGTGTTTTCTTCTCCCGTATCGAGGGCTTCGTCTCCAGCTTTCTGTGTTGCATCGTCTCCCGTCTCCTCGGCTTCCTCCTCGGCTCCAGCAACGGTGTCTTCGGTCTCTTCTATCGGTTTCGGCTCCGCCTGTTCAAGTTCATCATCTGCTTGCGATACCTTTCCTGTTCTGTCTTCGGTAGTTTCTTCTACTTCGGCCTCGGTGTCCTCTGCCTGGGCCTTCGTATCTGCCACATTCTCCGGCGCGTCTTCCGCCTTCTCTCTTAGCGTCTCCTCGGATGGGCGCGGAGGCAAATTGGGGGTATCTGTCTCCGGCGCCTGCACCGGTGGAGATTTAGTGCCTTTGCCCAACTTTGGCGCACCACTTGCTGCTGGCTTTCGTCCAAGCTTGGTTGGGGTGCGGGGGGTGTCACCCTTGCCAGCTGCTGGAGATGGAGCCATGTCGGAATCTTCTTCTTCTTCTAAAGGTTCTCGGGTGGTTCTGAGGGTTCGTTGGGAAGCAGCAGAAACAGTGCTGGAAATAGATCGTGAGCGGGGAGAGTTTCGGTTGGGGGTTGGGGGAAATGAGTAGTAGGTGTAGGAATCGGATGAATTGTCTGTCATATACCTTTTGACGAGACAGCTCGTCTTTTTAGCTAGCAAGAAAAGAGGGATTGGGGTAGGGGTGGACTAAGGATTTATGAGAGAATTGGGGAGGGATGGGCAGTTTTTTCCACTCATGACGTAGGAAACCATAGCTTCAGAGAGCTTGACAGGGGAGCTTGCGCCGCAAACATAATGTTTGGAGTAGCGAAACTTGTTTTTGGGGCTTGATACAGGCGTCGTGCGGGACAGGGCTGCACCAAATTCCCACAATCCTGAGTACCATTGCGTCACTGCTCGAGCTCCAGCGGGGCGTCAGCTCCAGCGGCGAGAGCACTGGGCCTGGTAGTCACACAAGAGTGGACCAATGCTTCTAGCCAAATGTGGCTGAACTGGGATTCGGGGCGCATCGACGATGGGTCACAAAGCGGGATCCATCAACATTCATGGCTCATGATTCTTGATTGGGGAGAAAGAAGGAAAGACTATTTCCGGATGAATTCCGAAGCTCATGAAAAGCAATTGCAACAATAATGACGGTAGTAGACAGCAAAAAGCTGGTGCACTTTTGCCCTATATCAAAAATTAGCAGGGTGTCAAGAGGGAGCTGTGGCATCGATGTTGTCTGCGGATTGATGCCTCAGTCGGTCTCGCCTCGATCAACAGACTTGTGGCAGTCCTCTCCACAGATGCTGTCCATCGACGCCGCACGCCGGAATTGCATCCTATCAATGTGTCTCATGGAACATGGTACTTTAGCTCTGCTTGCCGCTGTCCAAGAAGAAAGCTGGATGGAGAGAGAGGTTGGAGCGGGATGACGTCGCTGGCATGAGGCGTGCTGGGAACTCCCTGTCAACGCTCGCTTGGTGGCGGGAGTTGCGTCGATCATTCACCTCGTATTGCGAACCATGGCTTGAATATCACGAATTCCCACCTTCCCACCTTCCGCATCACAAACGCCTTCGTCGCATGGGAAATTCGACGTAAGACCCTGCGTTGGCATCGTGATTGTTCATCACAACTTGTTTCAAAACGATTGATGTTCTAAATTGGTATCCCAACTAGTATCGACTTGTCCGTGCTCTAGAAGACAACACGGCAAGATGTCTCAGCCCCGTTCCTGAGTGCCACAAGATGACATCTGCATAGCGAGGAGAGAATCTATTATGGGTGAAGGTAAAAAGAAAGTTGGAGTGACAACAGGAAAATGTGCAATGAATCGTGGGTGATGATGGGTGTGTGATGTCAGAGGGAGGACAGGTTTAGGCAGGAAGACGCGGGTTGTGGCCAACTTTCTCGGGTTCTCACCAGCCACACAGATGCACACTCGGAGGTACCTGTGTGTCAGTGTAAGGTTACTTATCACTGCAGCATGAGGCGCTTGGTAACGGTATTTAGTGAGGAACGATCAGACGTTTGAAACTGCTTTCACTGTCACACTAGTTCTATGCTTATCGTGGGTAGGCGGCCGGTCACGGCTATTACGGGATATCATGGAAATAGTATGAAGAATGTCCCAACACCTTTCCAATACTCGTCTCAAGCCTCAGTTAGTAAGAACTCATCCTGACTCGAGAGCATCACGCTTTCCCTCAGGAGGTATCCCGCTCTCCACATCTTCACCAGACCTACTTAACACCTTGTGCTTTTTCTCTTTTACTTCCTTAAGTTCGTCCTTAGAAGAGATAGATCCAATTCGTATCTTCTTCCACATCTTTCTCCGCCAGCTGTTTTCTTTCCGCGCTGCTTCTTCTTTCTCGGCATTAGCAGCGAGTATCTGGCGCTCTCTCTCAGCGCTCTTACTCTTATCCTTTTCTTCCTCTTCCTTCTTCTTATGCTCCTCTGGGTGCATGACTTTCGTTTCAGCCTGCTGCATGTGTTGAACACCATGTTTGAACTTCCGTCGAGTCTTCACATATGCCTCGAGGCCTACCAAAACCGCGTAAGAACGTGAGATGGAGACCCGTGACATGTCAACCCTATTGTCCCGCAGCGAGTGAACGAATGCCCGGAAGTTCTTGGTTGGGGGTCTGTAATGACCAGACAGAGGCGAAAGCCGGCGTAATTGCCCGTCTTTGATTTTGATGAGACCTGCAGCCGAGATGCGAGCGCCATGGAGAAATGAGCTATGCTGAAAAGCACCAGATTGTTTTATCCCAACGTAGAGTCGAAACGAAGTGTCCGCAACGAATATCCAAGAATTTGGTTTTACGGACCCTCTTAATAAGTGATTTAAAACTGTAGCCGCAGACACGTATTTGATTTTTGACAGGCCTTTGGCCTTGTCGAGTTCATGGTTGACGTAGTGTTCGCCTTCAGCGTCGCTGTGTTCTGCAGAGGATTCGGAGGAGCTAGAAGTTGAAGATGAAGTTGAGTCCCTTCGGCCTTTACCACTATCGAGTTGGCTACCAGACCTGAATGCAGGGGTAGTGTCGTCCTTAGGCACAATGCCAGCGACGCTGTCTTTATAATCAACCGTCGTGCTGATCCGTTCTCCGTTCTTCGCCCAACACAAGTGCCCTTGCTTGTCAATCTTTACTAGGTATTGCATGCGTTCCTCTCGTGAAAGGTATCTGACCTGCTCCTTCTCTAGTCTCTCCCTTGACACAGTTGGGAGCTCGAAGTTCTTCCCAGCACCATAATCCAACCAATAGAAGAAGTTCTCGTTCGTGGGTGACTTCTTCCATTGCTCATGGTATGCCCTCAGATTACTCCCGTACCGGTGCTTTTGGTCCACCATTTCGAGGAAGTATTGCAAGTCCATCATCTTAGCAGTTTTCTCCCGCTCTGTTTTCTGCTGTATTTTCCTTCGCCGATATTCCCTCCGTTCTTCGGGACTGATGTCATCCTCATCCTCGGACGGGTCTTCCGGGTCATCGCCGCCGGCCCGCCGGGCTATCTCGCCTATCCGCTTCCAGTTTTGGCGTGCAGCCTCGGAGCCGACTCGTGAGCGGTGCCCGGGAAGAGTGTGGGTTTCATTGTGGAGGGGTTTCTCGGAGGGAGACATGGGTCTTGTGGCATTCCGCCATCGCGCTTTCGAGGTTTAGCATCTACCTTATGTCTGGGGGAAGGGAAGCTGACCCTCTTTCACAGCCTGCACCAGTTAGCTAGCTCAGCGGAATCCATGAATCCATACCTCTACCCATCTTGTGGTAGCATCGAGTCCCATTCCTTCCAGCTGCCGTCGCTCTCTATATCCGCGATAGTTCCGCTGGATCACTTGGGCGGCGGCTGCTAGTTCTTTGCGCTCCTTGGATACCTCGTGATCGGTGGAGTGATCATGGCGTCCGCTAGATGCGTCTTGAGGCTCGTGTGGGGTTTGTGGGCGCAACATGTGTTCTCCGTCTGCTTCCATCACAAAGGCAGCAATAGGAGGTTTCAATGGAGGAGTGTTGAGCTAGTGGGGCTGTGCCAAGGCCGGATCCTGGTCCGACATCCCTGCTTCGCTACGGCGGTGCTGGTTTACGTCATAGGCGGCGGTGCTCAACACCAAACAACGATCACCACTTGTCTTGCAGGCACGCAATGGCTTCCGATATACCGTGGATTGCTCGCCGAATTCTCCTTGGAATAGTTTACTAACAAGTCAATGCAACCCATCCCCAATTGATCACCCACATATATATCCGGCGCCCGACGATTCGCGGCTCGATTATTCCAGGTACTCCATTAAGACTCCACTAGAACTTCATTACAATCGTTCCAGTGGCGCCCCCCACCCTTAAAAGGGGTTCTAATCGCTCTCAGTATATATAAGTTGCTTAGTGATTAGAGTCAGCACCTTCGTGTGGAGTACCTTCCACAGCACTGCTTGGCTCTATCTTCTGGCCTAAAGTTCCTTAACCCGGGGTTAGATGTACTTAAGTAGATCCATTCAGCGAATGAATCTTCCCCCTTGATTCCACTGTATACGGGAGCATACGAATTGATATACTTCTTGCTCCACTCACCCACACAGTAACGTCTTGAGGCACCGAGGCACCTTCATAGTTACTCTCAGCGAAAACTACCGCTAATTAAATGAACTAATGAGAAATCACTCTGCTGTCTCATGAATCCGACGAGACAATTTTCCATGCCCAGATGATATAGGCAACCTAACCCTACATTGCCTAGTGTAGGGGTGACAGCGCTTCCAACGGGGTGCACTACGGTTCGTACAAAGTGAATCGTAACAGTCTCGTGTTCAGTGCTAACGTACCAAGTTCTTGAGCCGCACAGTACGTTTAATGATGCCCTAGATCCGGTACGTAGTACAGATGGTATTACACTTTTAGGAGGTTTGTTTAGGGATTCTAGAGGAGCAGGAGGACTTTAGTAAGCACTAGGCCTGCAGGGTGCATTTCTAGGGCTCATATTAGCTAATAATTCCTTAAAGACTCTTAAATCTGTTGTTGTTTCTTAGTGTGTAAATCTATTCATCCTCAGTCTGCTATCTTAGAAATGCCCATTGCTAGCTATATTCTATTGCAGATTTATCTATCTACGCGCCTTGCTGCCTCACAGGCCTCATCTCGTTGATTAGATGCCTCCGTCGTCCATGTTGTATCGCAGGGGCTAGTTATAAAGCTGATGGATGATAGAGGGCATAGAGAGTTGCGAGTAGTCAATTAGGTGGTGACAGTCAAACCAGGTCGATTGAGCTAAGGCGTAAGGTCTAAGGAGCGAAAGAGAGCTCCAGACGACTATATAGTAGATAAAACAGCGATATTCCTAAACAGGAAGCTGGTGTGAGTCAAGGATCTATGATTCCCCTCGACGCATGGTCACGTGAACCATGTCATGTGCGACGCTTTGTGCAGTCTTGTACGGATCCGCAGGCTGCAGAAAATCGAGAGCCCCCTGCACTGCGATAAAACTGTCCGTTGCAAAATATTAGTCGCAACAGTTCCTAGACAATTGTAATTGTATTACTAGCGTTAGGTTTGCAATTAACTAGAATAATATATAGCTGTTAGACTTAAAAGAAAGCGGAGTGGCACAGCTATTTGTTGTAGCTGCCGCCGGCTAATCACCTTATATAACCGACGAATAAGGTAAAGGCCATGCTAAGCTTATTTTGACTCACCCCTCAGTACTTCCAATAAGGCGCAGTACTTTACGATTGGGCGCCTGTACGGGTGAAACTATGTGTACGTTCATACGACAACGAGGAGCAGATGTAGGTTCCATATACTAACTGTTACAGCTCACGTAGTCTATACGGACAGTACAATTTGAAGGACGCCGTACTCTAGTCAAATTAGCCAGATTAGAAAGCAGATTACCTTACCTTAGTCCTCTAGGAGCGTTAAATCCGCAATATAAACCTACACCTTTAACACCATCCAACTATCATGCAACGTAGTCTTATTCTTTACTTAGTAACGGATTTGCACCAGGGGTGGCGCCTCTCCTAACACTTAACTTCGCTTGTCATTTCGCTACCCACCCTATGAGCACTGCAAGTTCTAAACATCTATGGCAGAGCCTTCAAAGCTTCTTCATGCGCCTCGCGATGTTATTAAGCTTATGCTCGAGGAGGTTAGCATTTCGAATGCACGCTAATGTCAATGAATTTCTTCTTACGCGTCTTCTGTAGCTGAATCAAAGTGACCGAGAAGGATTCAAGAAGTTCCGCTTAGTGTCAAAGACTTGCCGCCGCGAGTCGGAATTCCTGTTCTTTCGGACCGTCGCGCTGCACGACAAAACCCCTTCAGCGAAGGATGCAAGTTTTGCAGTAATGAGGAGACTGGCGGATAATCAAGATTCCATCGTACACCTTGTTTGGGACTTAAGAGTTGGCCCGATTGGGGATGAACAATGGTTCTACTTCGAAATCCACCCTGCGCTGCAAGACATGATCGGAAACTGCACGAATATACAGTCCTTCACTTGGTTGACTCACCATGGAACCGGAGCTGGCTATGGTCATTACTCAGCCGGACGTGATCCCTTGACGCTTTTCCATAAGACGCAGCCTTCCGCGAGGCTGGATGTTGTCTACCGCGACCGCCAGTACACACCAATTGATCGTGCCCTCCTTTCAAGCCCGCAGTTGCACACTCTTGACATTAATGCGTACTACGATTCCAGCGACTCGTTTGGGAGAAGCGAACTTCAGATCCTCAAGAAGTGCTTAGTTGAAGGAAATAGCGTCAAAGTTCTCCGTCTCGGGTTCGACGGCGTCTGGCTACCCCGTAAATACAGCGAGCACGATCCACGGGTGCGGTTTCAGGACTGGGAAGGCGTGACGACTGGAAAATTGAACTTTCACTGGCAAAGGGGCGACCGATTCCCTGCCCTAGAAGAGCTCAAAATTCAATACCCGCACTATCAATTCACACCCGACCACTGCAATATGTGGGCCCGTGTTATGGACTGGAGCAAACTGCGGAAACTCGACTTGAACAGAGGCTCGCCTCGGCATCTGTTCGCTGCTCTCAAAGACCAGTTACCGAATCTAAAGTACCTCAAGTTTGGAATATGGGGCCCTAACCCAGGGAATTCGACCTGGGATCTGCAGCCTTTGGATACTGGTTTACCAATCCTATCGGCCTTCATCGTCTCTATTACCGCACTTAATGAATTGAGATTTAAGAGTTTCGCTTACGAGGATTTCATGGCTGCTTTGTCAATTATTCTGGAACATCAAGGAGCACACTTGAAGAGGCTTGACATCAGTTGTAGGGCTTACGGGATGAACGCATGGAAGGTGGAGCAGTATATGGAAGTGCTAGGGAAAGCCCCAGATCTAGAGTACATGAAGGCAAAAATAAAAGATGGTCATCTAGAAGGGACATGGGAAGACGGAGGAAGGGCGCTAGATCCGTGGGACAAGTTTTTGAGCGCGGTGAAGAACGACAAAGTCGTACCGGAGCAAAAATTGAGCAAGAAAGGGGAGAAGAAAGCGACTGGGGATCCTTCAAGTCCTTATAAAGGCGTGAGGGATGCCCGGCCCTTGGCGTTCAGGAGATGATGACCTCGAAATTGCATAAGTACAATACAACTTCAATCCCGGCCTTCCGGGATCTTAAGAGATGAATGTTGCCTCTGCCACCGCAGCACTAACAGCCGTTGGAGGCCGACCGAACCAAGTACCTGGCGGATTATGTTGCAAATGGAGAGATGTAAGCATGCGGCTATGTAAGAAGCTGACGACGTGAAGTGTATTATCTAGTGTTGTAAGTGCTCTCTTGCAAAGTATTTATTTATATCTATAATAGCATGGGCAGTAAGGGCCATAGCAATAGCTGAGAGGCTATAATAAAGGTATTAAAAGCTATAGCAATAGCAGTAGAGGCTATTAAAGCGTAACATGTAAGGCCGCTAGGTTAGTCCTTACAAAGGATGATAATGCATCGTAAGGCCGGAAGCGGCTTGTACGACGGTCCTTACGCGCGACAGGTATATATACTATTCTGTACGCAAACCAACTGTTAGTTGATTATTCGCACCTTTTAGTTGTATTTGCACAGTGGTACAGAGCTCCGTCCTTAAGAAAGGAAAGTTTCTATATTAGAAATGTAACACTCCCCTCTAGATAGCTTATATAATGCAGTATCTATATAATATATATAGTGTAGTGCTCTCTCTATTAATTATTTTTATTAAGTAGCATACCTATTTTTAAACTAATCTGTTCAACAAACTTAAGATGCTTAAGTATAGTAAATTATAAGAGGTATTAAGCAGGAAGCATAATGTACAGAGAGAGAATGCAGGATAGAGAGGTGTAACAAGAGTAAACTTTAAGTTAGAGCTAGAGGTATAGAGGCTAAGAATCTTATATACTCTATGCTAAGCCCTTTAGGTACTTAGGGGTTTGATAGTTGTAACATAACTATAACATAGCCTTCTCTCTTTTTAAAGCTTGTTCTAAGACCTAGAAAAAATAGCTAATGCTAATTCTATATATAAAGTAGTTGTCGCATACAATTATCCGCCTGTATATATCCTTCTGCTGTGCTGGCTAGAAGGTTGCCCTTTTAGCAACGCAATAGTTATAAGCCTAGTACGCGTAGCGTGGATAGTTAGCGCGAGAGAATTTTCGCACCCCTGTTTTACTAGTAGTATGTCTGTAAAGTGTTATCTAAAGCTTAAGGTAAAGTTTTAAGTGTAAGTATAGTTAGAACATATCTAGCCTATTATAAAGCCTATCTTATTAAAGTTGTATGTGTTGTTATTCTAGATACTATACTTAGCTTTAATATTATTTATAAGGCTAAACTAGCTTTAAATTACTCTAAGATTTTTATAAAAAGCTTTTTTATAGTTATACTTAAGCTTAAACTTTACTTTAAGCTTTAAATAATGCTTTATAAACATACTAAGCTAGTTTATGCTAACATAGCCTAGATTATGCTTAGTGTGTAAAGAATTAGCTATATTAGCTACAGTTACTAGCTAAGAGGAAAAATTCTTGCGTATATAGCTTAAATAAATACGTAATAATTACTTACTTTTTATAATTATCTAGCTTTTATAAGTTAGCTATAAAATTAGCTTATAAAAGTTATCTAGTATGTTAGTTATTTATTATTTTTTAAAAGACTTTATATATAGCTGTAGTATATTCCTTTAAAAGTGTTATATTTTAATTAAAAGCTTAAAGTGTAAGATATATCTAACATTCTTTTAGCACATCTAAGTAGTGTTGTTAGAAATGTATTAGTGTAGAAAAAGTAGTTTAGTAGGGTCTTAGTAAAAGTAAGTAACTTAAGTGTATAAGCAACTTACCTGTAGTGTACGTTACTACTAAATAAAAACATTATAATAACATTACAAAGGCACTATATAAGTATTAAGTTTTTAGTTTATTTTTTAGTAATAAGTAAATTTTTATTATAAAGTTTTACTTTAACGTACTTCATAGGCAAGTTGCTTACACACCTAAGTTGCTTACTTTTGCTAAGACCCTACTACACTACCTTTCTTATACTAATGCATTCCTAATAACACTACTTAAATGTGTTAAAAGAACATTAGATGTAGCTTATACTCTAAGCTTTTAAATAAAATATAACACTTTCTAACTAACACGCTATAGCTATCTATAGGGTTTTTAAAAAGATAATAAGTAACTAACACACTAGACAACCTTTTTAAGCTAATTATATAGCTAACTTATAAAAGCTAGATAATAATAAAAAGTAAGTAATTATTTAGCATATACTTAAGCTAGATGTGTAAGGATTTCCCCCCTAGCTAGCAGCTGTAGCTAATATAGCTAATTCTTTACATGCTAAGTGTAATATAGGCTATATTAGCATAAACTAGCTTAATATGTTTATTAAGTGTTACTTAAAGCTTAAAGTAAAGTTTAAGTGTAAGTATAACTATAAAAAAGCTTTTTATAAAAATTTTATAGTAATTTAAAGCTAGTTTAACTTTATAAAGAATATTAAAGCTAAGTATAGCATCTAGAATAATAACACGTATAACTTTAATAAGATAAAGTTTATAATAGGCTAGATATCTACTAAAGTAGTTATTACAAGTTTAGAGAGATAAGAACAGCTAAAAGCAGTCTAGCTAGGTAACTAGGAGTAGACAACAGCTATCTAGAGCATTAATGCTAAAAAGTAGGCTATTTTACTTTTTATTATTTTCTAGGGTAGCAACTACCTTTTAAACTAGTATAAAAAAAATCTACTTTAAAATTAAGTTATTATAATCTTTAAGCGTAGCTAGACTACTAATTAGCTTAGTCTAAACTAGTTAAAGCACTTTAATGCGCATATAAAGAAGTGTACTATTAGCAGCTACTGTCTGCTAGTTATTAATAGCTATAAAAGCTATAACTTACTTTATTTCTAGTAATACTATAAAGATAATAAAATTATTACTATTTATATACTTTTTTACTTATTGCACTTTTTATAGCTACTTAATGTAGGTTATTTTACTTCTTTAAAAAAGGTGTATAAGCGCTAAGCTAAAAACCTTATGTAACAATTCTCATGAATCGTTCCATCTTAGGTCGCCCAGAACCCATCCGAAGGGTCTCCGTATCGGCTCCGACCCTGGTTCGACCCTGACTCGACTCTGCCCGGACCCCTGCTATTACCCCTATTCCCTCATGTATTTAGTCGCACCTCGCCCCCGTAGCTAGCTCGGTAGTTTTCTGATATCCTACGTACAAGGCCTATAGGTGTCATTGGTATTCCCAGGTCTCTGAGTCCCCACGCACTCCCATATGCCTCTGAGTGGATTCATACCGCATTCGGACCCATTGTCTTGCCTGCGCCGTTACACCTTATATATAACTAGATTACTTATATTATAAAAATAAAGTTTCTACTATACTTTAAAGCAGCTTATAATACTATAATTACTTTTAGTAATATCTAAAAAGAGTTTTAAAGCACTAGATTAGTTTCTTTTAACTTATAATAAGTTATAATAGGCCTTAATGTAAAGTTACGCACTTTATTACTACTACTACTTATATATAATAAGCTCTAGCAGTTGTAAACCCTAAGCAATACTTTAAAACTTAAGTTATAATAAATACTTATAAAAATAAAAATTTAAAAGCATATAAACAGTTTACTAACTTTTATAGTTAAAGTGTTTAAAAAAGTTTTAAAAAAGGCAGTAATAATTACGCATAAGCTAGTATTAGTGTAATAGAAAATTACTAAGCTTTAAGCAGCTAATAAGGCTACTATGTAACATAAATTACATAAAAAAAAGCAAATTAAGGCAGAAAGAACCTTAATAATTTAGAAAAGCCTACACTTAACAGCTCTAAAGGAGTTTAAAGCGCGCAGTAATAGAAAGAAGGTAAAAAAGTAGGTGCAAGCTAAAGTAGGTAAGCTATCCTAAAGGCGCTGCAGATAGTGTAATTAGACTAGGCATAACACGCAAACGTGTAAGCAAGAAGCAGAAGTAGTATCTAAATAATATTCTAGGCTGTACTGTACTATATAGTGCTAGAGCAGGTTGTTATAGGCTATAATAGAGTTTATTAAGGGTGGGGTCTTGGCAAAAGTAAGCGACTCAGGTGTGTGAGCAACTTGCCCATGAAGTACGTTATTATATTTTATTTAAATTAGTTTTAAAAACCTTTTAAAAACTATAAATAAAAACTATTAGCTTATAATAATCTATTTAAATTATTTTATTTAAAGTTACTTAGTAAAGCTTATATCTAAAGGTTTCTTATTGTCAGATATGCGCACCTACTGTCAAGACAGGAGGAACGTTTGACGAAAGCTGCTACATAGTACGAGCAATAAGCTCGAACAGTATGTTGCTGCAAATTGCAGCATTTTGCAGCATTTTGCAGCATTTTGCAGCATTTTGCAGCATTTTGCAGCATGTTGCAGCAAATTGCAGCATGTTGCAAGCTGGTCGCGCATAGGGCTAGTGCGCGAGGGACTCGGATCGGAAAAACAAAAGCCGAGCAACACGAGTAGAGCACAAAAAGGATCGATAAATCACAACGATCAAGACAATAAATCAATCATCCCATACATCATATCCAAACCCATCATTCATCTCAGGAAGCCCAGAAACAGTGCTTCAATCTGACACTTATATATGCTCTAACCCTGCCCTGCCCTCTGCTGTAACTCTATTCCCCTAAGTATTTAGTTGCATCTCTCCTCTTAGCTAGCTTAGTAGTTTCCTAATATTCTTTGTACAAGGCCTATAGGTGTTAATGGCATTCCTAGGTTTGTAAGTCCCCACGCACTCCCACATACCTCTAAGTGGATTCATACCGCATTCAGACCCATTGTCTTGCCTGTGCTCTTACAATAGTTAGAATCTAGTAAAAAAAAAATTAGCATTTTATAGCTATAACTTAATTTTATATTTAATTAAATTTTAAACTTGTTTAGATTTATAGTAGTAAAGATATTATAAATCTAATCTTATTATTTAACCTTTTAAAGTAGTTTAATTTATTAAGATAATTATAAAATTCCCTTAGACAGTTTATAAGAGAAACGCTAGCTACAGGGGTTAGAAACTGCTAACCCTAAGGCCATACGCTGTTTAGAGTAGCGTCCTCGGTTCTCTCGTTACCCTGGCTAAGCTAGATGAGATAACTAAATCTGTGACAACTTGTGTTATAGATTCAGGTCACTCTCCTGTTGTAGTGGCCCTGCCCTTTCCACATGGCCTGGTTTCTAGCAACAGAATATCTCCAACTGCCTTCGATCAGTAGTGACTCTAGGGAGCCTAAGGGTCGGTTGTGTATACTTAATACGCCTCTTCAACACCACCTGGTTTGCCATGCGACTGAAATTGCCAAAAAACATCAGAAAACCTGTGAGGGAATTGCCTATAAGATAGGCATTAACGTCTGCTGTCAAACACTATTTAAGGCATTTAAGAAAGAGCTCTACTACCGCTTGTAAGGCTATACAGAAGCTCTTCATTATAGAGAACAATAAAGCTAAAGGGCCTCAATAGGCATAGAAGCACCTTAGCTAGCTAGAACAGATGTGGGATAGATATAGTTAGTCTAACACGTTGTCAGCTTAAATAGGCCCAAGAGGAGTATGTGTTACGTAACTGGCTAAAGAAGCCCTACATTCTAATTGTATAATACCTAGATTCAAAAGTTTTAGTAGCTGTATACTGTGGGATATCATCTCAACCAATGCTAAAGGAACTATCGGCTTGCAGGTGTATATTCAACATATCCTGCCGTATATTCAGATATACTAGTAGACCTACAGAACTTTTGGAGGCAGATATCTTATCTATATAGAAGAGAAGAACTCCATACACAAGTGGCATGCCACTATGGAGGCCTACAAGAATCTAAGGATTAACAGAGCCTGATGGCTAGCAAACTCGCCAGATCTTATTCCTATTAAGAACATCTAGCAGATACTCAAGTAGAGACTTTCAAGGCGGTTTCCAGACTACTGCTGAGGTAAAGCAGTATCTGAAGGAGGAATGAGAGAAGATCAGGATAGATGGCTATAAGAAGTATATCCGATTAATGCGCGAACGTTGCTAGGCAGGCAGTGGGTATACCAAGTAGTAAATTCTTACTAGGTGCAGTTTGGTATGCAACTTACATAGAAAATTGCATTGCTCACTCATCCTCTACTTAGGGTAATTCCACTTGGCCCCTGCGCACGCTACAATCCCGTTCATGGGAAGGGGGTGTAACCTTAAATACCGTGGGAGCGAGCTCGAGTGTTCGAGCCCACTCTGAATCTCGCCAACAATCTTCCCAGCTTCTGCTTCTTGTTGCAAACTGAAGCCTGATCGCTGCTTCGAACTCCAAGCCGTTCTTCTATGGTTGGCTATCTTCCCCGGTATGGATAGCGGCCCGTGAAGCCAGCGATTCGAGACGCCGAGCGGACTCGAAACATTGCAGTGTATCGTTGCACCCATGAGACCCAGCATGCTTCCTATTAGTACTTCCCTCCATGGCCGCATCGATATTAGAACGGAATGACTCCATCAAGTTTCGCCGCCAGTACGGGAGGTAACCTTGGACCGGCAACAGCCCAGGAGGGGGCGGGGGCGAGGTTGAATGGCGACTAAGAAGACAACACAACTCAACACCCACAGCAATATCACTGACGATCTACCAAACCTAACCTCTATGTGACCAGCAAGCATTCACCCAGGCAAGTTCGGAGGGATGGTTGAGCTAAGCGTACAAATCGCACCTTTCACTTCAGATAGCCCGCCGTTGTATGAAGCGTTATCGTATGTCTGGGGCTCAGAGGAGGATCCTCAGGCCCTCGTCATGAGCAGTTCAGCGAACAGAGGAGTGTTCTGTGTCATGAAGAACCTAATAGATGCTCTAAGACTAGAGTTGGCAACAATTAAGTCAACTTAATAACTTAACTTAATTAACTTAATTAATAGCTGTTAATTAAGTTAATTAGCTAGGCAAAATTTACTAAGTTAATTAAGCAAATTATGCCTACTTAATTAACTTAATTAATAGACTTAAATCCCTAGGATCTTAGGTTTACTAAGGGATACAGGATTTTTTAGTGTGCAGGAGTAGTAAATATAGTATAAGGCAGCTTAGCTTTAAGAGACTTTAGAGTTATAATAGTTGCCTAACTAGGCTTAGCGCTATATATCTAAAATTTCTTAACTTCTACTGCCTACTAACTTACCTGCCTCTACTATGTATATAAAGGCTAGCTAGACAACTGCCACCTTAGCTTTTAACACTTATAGGCAGAGTTTAAAGACGCTACCTTTTCTGTTAGTACTTTAAAGCCTCTGCTAAAGAAGGCATGTATAGGGCTAACTAAAAGCTAGTTAGATTTTATAAAAGCTGCTTTATAAGGTAACAACACCTACTTAACTTATTACTATAATAAGTTTAAGCGCTAGATAATTAAGTTACTTATACTAAAAAAGTTCTTATTTATGTGTAACTTAATTTTATACTAAATAAAAAAAGCTAATAAGTACTTTATCTTATTACACTTTGCCTTTATAATTCTTAGCATCCCTACAGTTGTCAGATATGCGCACCTACCGTCAAGACAGGAGGAACGTTTGACGAAAGCTGCTACATAGTACGAGCAATAAGCTCGAACAGTATGTTGCTGCAAATTGCAGCATTTTGCAGCATTTTGCAGCATTTTGCAGCATTTTGCAGCATGTTGCAGCAAATTGCAGCATGTTGCAAGCTGGTCGCGCATAGGGCTAGTGCGCGAGGGACTCGGATCGGAAAAACAAAGGCCGAGCAACACGAGTAGAGCAGAAAAAAGGATCGATAAATCAACACAATTAATACAATCAATCAATCATCCCATACATCATATCCAAACCCATCATTCATCTCAGGAAGCCCAGTGTGACGGTCCTACGCAGAGAGCTCTGTCGCGCTTCACATGACGAGCTGCCCGTGCAGCCAATCAGGATATAGGGGGTGCGACTGGCGCAACGCTATTAGTTCGCTTAGCGCTAGCGTCCTTGCTAGCGCCTCAGCGCCGCGAGCACTTCTTCTGCAGAGCTGCCCTTAAAGCTCCCTTTCTCCTCTCTATCTTAGTGTAGCTGAAATAGAGCCGACCTACTCTGCCTTGCTTCCCTAGCTCTATACAGTAGTAGAGACAGTGCTTGTTATCACATTACACTAAGATCATCTCATTCGGCTGGAGGACAGCGACACAATATCCAGGTCTACCGTGCAGTCAGCTCCGAGAGCTTGATCTGCCAACCGACCCTCACTTAGACAGATCTGCTAGTACGACTAGGCCGAGCCTTAGTTTGTTGACGATAGCCATCTGCCTCAAAGCCCTGGTCAGGCCAGGCAACTGTAAAAGCGACACTAAGCGACAATTAGATTGTCGCACCTCATCAAGGAGCCCTGAGCTAGGAGCGCTGCTGCTCTAGTTTAAATTAACCGTAGGGGGGGGCCTACTGTACCGACTACCACCGCAACGACGCGAAGAGAGCCGCAGGCTCTGTACGAACCCACGTACGAACCCACCACTAATCGACTATCAGCCCCACCGTCACCGGACCCGGGGCTCACACTACACTATACCTCTGCGGACCGCCAGACCCCGGAGTAGAGGGAAGGAGCTAAGAGCACTAGGATGGGGAAGCTGTCAAGGATCAAGATGCGCGTTAATCCCACCGCCCAGCCCACCAGCAACGCCCATACGCCTGAACCAAGGACGCTGCTATGCCAGGCCCAGTTCTACGCCAACAATGTGTTTAAGGAGGACTACGCTATTAAGACTGCGCGCGCGCGCGCTTAGTAGGCTAGAAAAGCACTATTGTTCTAGACAGAGGCTATTACCTAGGGTACCACTAATTATAATTTAATTAGCCTCTGCCTAGACCTACTAAACCTTATAGCTGTGGATCACGTAGTTATAGTAAACAAGCTGCTATAGCAGTTATTAAAAGTGCAAGCTTATTAAGACTATGCTAATACTCTTACTAAAGCAGTTAACATAGTAGTGTCAGATATGCGCACCTACTGTCAAGACAGGAGGAACGTTT